CTCCTTGTCACCATCCTTGTCCTCCTTGTCCTCCACCTCATCATTACCTTGGTCTTCATCACCTTCACAGCATTGAAAATTGTTCTCCCAGTTGTTCTCTGAGTCTGAGTGGTCTGCTAACTCCATGTTGGTGTATTCTCTTGTCATCTCCCACAGGGCAGTAGAATGACCGATTCCACAGTACATGTAACACATGAATATGTCTTGATTCGCGAATCTGAATGGTCTGCAACTCAAGTAAAAGAAAACAATATGGGAGGTTGCACTTACATGCCAACATAGTATGCTTCCCAGTTATCTAATTTGTTATTTTGACATGCGAATGACCTTCTGTACCAAAGGGAGCTCGTTCCCCACTCAAAAGCAAAATCCAGGATTAGATGCATGCTTCTGATGACTTGGCTGGGATCAAGAAATCTAAATGCATCGGAATCAGTCTCTTCAATGAAAGCAACTTTTGGCAGTCAAGCATGACTGATCCCTAACCGATGATCGGCCAAGGGAGCCAGCCATCTAACATAATAAGCCTTGACTTGGTACCTTTTCATCAAACCTTTAGCATTGAGCCATATGTCCATGTGAAATATGCCCAGACAGCAGGCATACCAATAGGGATGCTGGGGCTTTGTTTCATCAGAAAGGACCATGACATTGGAATGCGTCCAGGGATTGATGGTGTTGTACTCTCGTCAGAGGTCATAAGTTGTGTAGTGCACCTAGTTGATGGATTATATCAAGAAAGCATTATAATGTAGATGACATACCTGCATTGTTTGCACAGAGTACATTGTGTTGTCTGGGATGATGACTGAATTGTGTTCATCTTCTGTGAATTTATGGTTGCAATGGTTGACGTCTAAGTTCCGAAGTCGATATAAAGTGTGATCCTTGAGCTTCGGTATAAACACCTATAAGTTATTATGAGTAGGGTCAGAGAATAGGGTAATATGGGAACATACTGCTACAGCTGGGTCATTACTGTGTTCTTGAAGAAATCTAAAGATATGGAATGGGTTGTTGTGGCTAAGTGGAATGTAGTGATGTCCTTTGAACCCTGCAGGCAGGTCGATTGGTGCTTGCTGGATAGCCCACAAACTTTGGCGTGTTTCTGCTATGCGCCATAGGACACATCAACAGTGTTTAAGTTCAGCAAGTTGAGCTGGGGTGTCTAGTTTATTAGTTAAAGGATAGAACACTTTCAGCGCTCTATGTGCCAACTCTCCCTAGTTCTGAAATCAGACAAATAAGAAAATATGCCACATTCACTTACAATCTGCATTGTAAATGAGTCTGTTGTCCCAAAGAGCCAGATTGATCACACATAATCTCCCATAGCATGAAATTTGTATGTATCTATGATAAGGACCGTTAGGCATCCTTCTATCAGTACATGAGGCAACCATGAGGCTTGTCTTCTATCTTGATAACAAGAATAGGTCTTCTAGACCTATGTTGTCATATGCGGTCCAGACTGCTTATCTAAGCTGACACCTTCTGTCATCATCTGTCATCAAGGCCTAAAAGCCCGGGTATCATGTCGTTGTTATGCAGGGTGGCAGAGGGCTATCTGTAGCTGGGGGCTCACATTATGTTACTGTAACATGCCCTGCATGTCTGCAACCTGGGAAAAATCTGCCAGACAATTGGCAAGATACTCCAAAGTCCAAAGGGTGAGTCTGTCAAGGCCTGCCGGTGGACGAGACGGAGCAATGAGAAGTGAGTAGGTCTCAGAGCGATGATGAAGGTTTCTATAAGCGCAAAGCAAGTAGAGTCCAAGGGCAAACAAAATGCACCGAAGTCGCCAGCATTGAGAGCAAAGCCTCGAAACTTTTTAAGGACCGGCTGGTGGACAGTGCGCAAAGATGCAGGTGACGTGGCGGGCGCTTGTTGTGGTGCCGCAGTTGATGGTCTCAATACCGAGTGACATCGAGAAGTAGGAGGGCATGAGAGATGGGGCGCGGCATGAGAGAACAAGTGGGAGAGAGTTAGCACGAGAGAACAGGTATGAGAGAGCAAGCATGAACGGGTGCAAGAGAGCGAGCACAAACAAAAGAGTTAGAGCGAGCATGAGAACGGGCGCGAGGGACCAGAAGTATAGGTCCGTAGACATTGATTGGTTCACGAGAGAACGGGTAGGCGCAAGAGATAGTAACTGCAGGAGTGCAAGATGCTTCGCAGTAAGAATATAGAAAAATGATAAAAAGTCAAAACGTACCTTGAGTCTCAATGTCACCAGCATTGGTCCCTTTCAACTCCCTGGCGAAAACAAAGGACTTGGAGAAAATTGAGCGTACGTAGATCTTGTTGAGAAAGTTCCATCTTGGTTCCGTCACCACTGGCACTCTAGATGGTACTGTATGCACAAAATAGCAGGGACAGCAGTAGGAGACCCGCTTTCAGCATTTCATCCCTGGGCGTTGGTGTTAGCCTCTTGACTACTACACATTGACATCCCGAGGTACTGAAGAACTGCAGTGACTTATAGAAAAAAATAGCAAAGCCTTGTCAGGACTCAGGCGGCACAACGCTTATGTAATACATAAGATTGATGCGTAGTTCAGCCAATAATGAGCACTGCCGCATTATTGCCTGCGAGGAGCCGCCCATTATCGAGCACTCATGATACTGCACTGACGATACTGCATGTTCCATCGACTGGTATGCGAAGGAATGATTATGTGTGTGCGTCTCGTTTGTGTGTGTGTCGCGTCTGTGCGTGTGTGTGAGTTTTGTGTGTGACGAATAGTTGAACAGATCCAGCGCCATATCTTTTGCCAGTTTTCATCATTGAGTGATTTGAATCAGTCAAAGTACGTGGAAAGGTGAAAGTGGTAGACTATCATCAGGCTGCAGGTTCTTGAAGTGCTTTCAGCTGAACAGTCCATTTTAAACCGCATATGTATAATGAGACTGCGCAAAGATATCTAATCGATAATCATTGATATGCTGTTGACCAAGTATGTAAACAATCTGCTCCAGAGTTGTTGCAATTGCATTATTCTAATAATGCATAAAGCTCTTCGAAGGGCTTATGCGTTACTATGTACCTGCGTCCCACAGTGGCACCCATCCAAAGTCCATGCATTACGAGAATTATGCGTTATGCACGGAGGCAATTGTATTCACCGGGAGGATTGCAAAGATCTAACAAATTTTGTGTGACAGAGATAATAAGATTGAATGCTGTTACTCACATACAAAGACGAGTCTGTGCGAAGCGGAAAAATACCATCGCACAAGAGATACGAAAGACGGAAGAGGTTTTCAACATGGATCTGAACCGCGCGTTCAACTTGAAAAGGATACATACAAGAATAAAATCCCACCTTGCTGACACGAAACTCAAGCCGGAGGTCATACTATATATCACTGTCCTCCACTAAAGGGGAACTTCCAGGCCAGGAGTCAGTATTTGGTACGAGACGCATGGCCGGAATTAGAGGTTGAGTGAAGGGACATTGCACAGCGATATACTACCCACTTTGAATACAGCCAATTTATCCTTGCTGAACAAAGCAACCTGAAGGTCTCATACACTGAAAAGTAGCCTCTTGTCTGAGATACCGCTGAAGTGGAGTGTCATGCACAGGCGAGTACAAAGAGCTCACCCCACGAAATTCTCAAAACCTCCGAGCCGAGCCAAGAGCAATATGTTGAATAGGGCTATGTGCCGTCCCAATATAAGTTTCCGTGTACAGAGAAAGAAGTTAGTTAGGTTCAAACATAATTTGGGAGTGGAATCGCGTTGGAAAATACAAGATTGACCTCTGAACTTGACGAATTTGAAGTGTTTGGAGGCAAGGTCGTTGTAGGATGTTTGAAGGAACGGAATAAACATATAAGCGTTAGAGCCTAACAAAAAGTCGCAATTATGTCAAAACTAGGTTGAATTGCAACGGGGCAAGGTAAAAGTGGGCAATACCGAACCCTAGTGAATAGAAATGGTTAGACGAAAATAGTGAAATCTGGTTTATAAGTATGAAAGTAGCTGGTAATAGTACAGAAAAGGATCACAGATTATCAAAACCTGTTGAGATCGAGGCGCTGGTGACCTGGGGAGTCAAATTTGCATGTAATTCAAGATGTAGGAACTTCATACATACATAGAAAGATCACCCCAGACTGGTTCGTAATTGGGAGTTTTGCGCTAGCAAGCAGTCAATTTCGGCCTCACGCCGCTCAAACTCTGCCTGACGTCGGTCAAACTCTGCCTGACGTCGGTCAAACTCTGCCCGACTCCGGCCAACCTCCGCCTGACACCGGTCAACCTCCGCCTGGCTCTGAGCCAGACCATGAGCCAGACCATGAGCCAGACCATCCATCCATGTCTGTAAGAATCACAATGTTAATATCGTGCCTCTAGTCCATAAAAGGCTGACCTGCTGTGTCCTGGCATGCTCTGCTTGCCTCTTCAGCTCTGCTTCATTTTCGAGGCGCCTCCACTCATCAGCGTACCCCTCGCACACGGCCTCCACACTGTCTGCCCTTTCCACATTAAAACCATGGTAGCAAGAGCGTTTTCCTTGCCAGGTTGACTCGAGACCGCCTGGGAAGAGCTGTTTTATGGCCTCCCAGACAGTACTGGCGAACCAGTAGCACTGAAATTGATACAGGTGGTAGTCGGGAGCATGCATGTTTATAATAGATAAGAGAACCGATATCTGGGTTGCCGAGGGACGTGCGGATGTGGCAGAGAATGTGAGGGTGCAAAGACACTGGTATTGGCCATATCTCGATTCTAGGTGCTTGTGAGCGGTAGTACCTGTGTTTTTGGTAGTAGAAACGGAATCAAGGGCGGGAGTTTGTAAAGCTGAAGGGGAAGTGATGCCCGATGAGTGCGTAATAGGTGTAGAGGAGCCACTGTCGTTCGAGGATGGCTTTGGAGCACGGTCTACGACCACAACGGCAGTTGCAGGCACTGAAGCATCCCAATGACGAAAATATAGCACAATAAATTCATGCTGTTTTCGTTTGGTAGCTTTGCAAAACATGAGTTGTTCAAGGACACACCGTGGAGGAAAATTACTATTCAAGAGCATTCCCCTCCATGCCGCAACCTCAAGTCGAATCTCGCCCAAGGTAAATAACCCCGGGACATCAGTAGGAAATTCCATGGAACGGGAGAAAATGGCAGAAAGGAGTCTACGAAAACTGAAATCGTACTTTGAGAACATTCGCAAGTTGAAAAGGGTTTGAACAGGATTTGAACATGTGCATGAGGCTCAGAAGACAGCGATTTGCAAAACGTGTTAAGATATAAGATTAGTGTTGGGGCCAAATCATTTGCAGGCAATTGTGCTGACATGACCATCAGATAAATTTTAGGTGCGGCCGGGGAGAGAATTTTGCTTGGTAAATTATAGGTGTGCATAATTAAAATCACATGCTGTACACATGTCACATGGTGGGAATGGGAAAAAGCGGCGGAGAATTGAAAGATGGGAAAACTCGTTTGCGCTGCACAAAGCTCTCGTATCATGTATGGGACACTATTACAAATCATCTTCTGTGGTGCACTATCTGAGTGGGAGACTCTTTAGGGTAGAACAAGTGTGGTCTTTAGATGGTTTCTGAGTAAAGGTTGAGATGGATGTGAGAGACGTGCAAATTTGAAAGTTGGACTCACCAGATGTGTGAGCTTGTTTCTATCAACTTATTATATGCCGAGCAATGGACACAGTGCAAGGACAGCAACTTACACTGGCTGAAAGATTCGCAGTGGCTATGAAGCAGACAGGGAAACAAACGAAACAGGATGAATGTGCATCACTTTGGAGCCATGTCGTTCGTTTTTTTCATGAGTCCCCTCAGTTTTACTACACTCCAAGCTCATGGTAGATGCAGTACAGGCTGTGGAGGTGACTTCCGCTGGCATTGATGACGTTGCTGTCGATGCCTCGCATGGTTTGCGCCAACTACTTTTGCATCACGGAAAGCAATTTCTTATTCAATGCTAAGTACACTAGCTCGGTCTGCACGTACTACAAAAACTCATCTGGCATCCATACCAGCGCCGGGTCGGTTATTCCTCAAATCCGGAGTCCACTCGCATTTCAGACATCTCCTAGATAACATGGATCTCATACCTCCAATTTGATCAAGCTCAGTCAAAACTCAAGTTGGACATCCACATATTACAAAAACTCGTCTGGCATCCATACCAGCGCCAGGTCGGTTATTCCTCAAATCCGGAGTCCACTCGCATTTCAGACATCTCCTAGACGACATGGATCTCGTACCTCCAATTTGATATGTCCATTTCCAATAGTTTTTTTTACCTTGCTGATTTTTTACTTTTCTCGAGCAATAAGAAGACATGAGGATTCAGATGAGTTTGCGTAGTGGTATCTGCATGTGATCCCGTGTTTTGAACGAGTCAGGGTGCTTGTTATTGAATGAGAAACTACTTTCCTTGAACAAAGAAAGTGGCCTGAAAATAAGCAAGGTAAGAAACTACTGGAAATGGACAAATCAAATTGGAGGTACAAGATCCATGGTATCTAGGAGATTCCTGAAATGCGAGTAGACTCCGGATTTGAGGAATAACCGACTTGACGCTGGTATGGATGCCAGATGAGTTTTTGTGATACGTGGATGTCCATCTTGAGTTTTGACTGAGCTTGAACTCATGACTATCCCCCCAGTATATAAAGGTCGTCGTATTCGATGGCGACCTCCTCAGTTTCATCACTTGAAGCAACTCCCAACCCTCAAGCTACATAACACATCTTATCATCATGGTTTCCAGCAGCACTCGCGCCATCTTTAACGTGGAGTATTCCAACCAGGTCGTGGACTTGAAAGAGGGCGGACAAGCCGACGGCACTCCTGTCGTGGGCTATGTCTTCAACAGGGCGGGAACGAACCTCCATCAGCGTGTCAGTGTTCATTCCTTGGTTCAGATCATCCAGGCTAACGATCGGGGCAGTGGTACGTTGAAGTCCTCAAGACGGACGCGGAAGGCAACGTCACAGTTCATTTGACCAACAACGGAAATGGAAACTACCTGAGGGTTGAGACAGCGCTTCTTGTAAGAGATGATATTCGCTCCTGCGATGTACTGCTGCGACGCGTCTTTGAATTTACAGAACCAAGGTCTCGAAGGCAGTCACTTCTCCATGAAGTGGCTGTTGGTCAAACAAGGCGACTCTGGGAAGTACTTGTGAGTGATGCGGCTGAGAACTGTGGACCATCGTTCTACAGGTCACTTACCTATGCACAGCATCAAAGTCCCGGACACAAATTTCGCATGCGTCCTTCCGGACAACCACAATTACACCCAGGTACGGTTCCAAGCTCGTTATGCGACGGACAGAATAACTCATGATTTGTATTTGGTAGATCAAGCTTGCTGTCTTGGACGAGAGTGACCCAAAGCAGATGTGGATGTTCCAGGAGGTCTAAGTGAAGTTTTGGCCTGGATTCGCCCAAAGAGGTTTACAACAGTCCAGTATCTCCTTTCTTTTTGCTCGTCATCGTCGTAGTCGTCGTTACATGCGTGTTAAGTTTGCCTGTTTATAAATCGCCAGTCCTTGTCTGCCATGCTGCCCATTCTATCAGAACTATAGTGCGACGTGATTCTGTGCGAGAAATTTGAGCTGTTGGCACATAGCAATGGATGTCTGAGAACCTAGATTACCACGAGGAGTTCACAACACCAGATTTCTTCACAGATACAGTAGCTTTCGACAGAGATCCAAAGTGGCGGCAGAGCTCACAGAACTAGGGCTGGCCACCGTAACCGTATACGGTTACGGCCGTACAATTTACGGCGGGCTTACGGGTACTACCCGTACCGTACCGTATGTCGTACAATACATTCAAAATGTTCAACGGTACGGTACGGGTCATCATACGGTCATATGACCGGCTGTACGGTCGTACGGGAGATGAAAAAACGTTGAATTAGTAAATTACAGTAGTACTAACTTGCTCACCTGATTTCGATGCTTACTTATATTTGCAGATGAGTCCAGCGAGGATGATGAGGAGTACGCTGACGCTGATGAGGAAGCTGAAGACGATATGGGGACAGGCACTGCCGCACAAACCTGGACACATATCCATCAGATGATGACGAAGAACCTACTCCAGCTCCTCCGTCACGACCAGTCAAGACTGTGCACGCTCCGCTGAAACAAGGCACATCGGCCCGTCATGTGACTGGTGTCTGTCTCATCCCCAGCTGTGGAAAACCGTCTTTCGTTGAGTAAGTGGTCACTGGAGATCGATTGCTACGAGAGACTAGATGTTCTTCAGAGAGGCAGTGACCCAAGTCGGACTGGTTCCTGGATGCATCATGTGCCAACGCTACCCACGGCCATAACGCTGCGCAGGAACGGGTGCGCGTAAGTCTCATGCTGAGTCTGATCATCAACATTTGAAGATTCTAATGTGGGGAAGTGTTCCTGCTCACTGGTGGAATAAGCAGAAAAGCAAACAAACGCAAGAAAACACAAACTAGTTGATGAAGTGCTCGGCAGTGGCTTGTACTCCGCCATTTTGTAGGCCTAAAATTGTCTCGTATGCGGATTCCCCGGTTAGGAAAGGATCTGCACTGAAACCCTATATATTAATATGTTGTACTACGATAACACAATTTGCGTCACCTTTTTGAACATCACTCCACCGGCTCATCCCTCTCCAAAGTACTAGTATTGTTTCATGTAGTGTACCACCAATGATATACAACTAGTATACCACATCTTCAATGAATGTCGATAACTATCATGATAGTACACAACGTTCACATTCAAATTTGAGCCAGTGGGACAAGGTTCCTGCCGGCGAAGCTCGGCCCTTTCTAGTCTTTGCTATCGCTGTCATTATCTTGTAAGCTGTGTTATGTCAGTATTCAGATACGCAAAAATGCGAAAATTGTGCTATGTTCAAATGGGGCTTTATTTGGCCCTGTTGATATCAGCAAAAATGCGAAATTGAACCTGATCTTTTCTGTGTCTATCATCTGCTCTGTTACTACTGTCACATACAAAGCTCTTATATTCTATGGTTGTTATGCTATATATGATTCAATGATAAGCTGTGGTGTGTTACCATTGATATAGACAAAAATGCGAAAATTGTAATAATGTGTGGCTTTGTTTGGCACTGCTGACATAAGCAAAAAATGCGAACTTGAACCAAATCTTTTCTATGTTTGTTCTCTTCTTTTACTGTCACTTACCTGACAAAGTTCTTCCTTTCTTTGATTTGTGTCTAGAATATTATAATTATTTTTCTTGTCCAGTATCACCATGTCTCTATGAGGCTGGTTGGACATCCCTGTGTTGGTGTCTCTATGAGGCCTTACCTGGGAGCTTGGATGTGGTCTTTTTCTTCCCTCTTTTTGTCCAGTATCACCATGTCTCTATGAGGCTGGTTGGACTTCCCTGTGTTGGTGTCTCTATGAGGCCTTGCCTGGGACCTTGGATGTGGTCTTTTTCTTCCCTCTTCTTGTCCAGTATCACCATGTCTCTATGAGGCTGGTTGGACTTCCCTGTGTTGGTGTCTCTATGAGGCCTTGCCTGGGACCTTGGATGTGGTATTTTTCTTCCCTTTTCTTGTCCAGTATAACCATGTCTCTATGAGGCTGGTTGGACTCCTCCTGGGATGGTGCCTCTATGAGGCCTGTCCTGGGGTATTGTTGATCTGGCTCTGTCTCCCTGTCTACTGAACTGTGCCTCTATGAGGCTGGTTGGACTCCTCTTAGGATGGTGCCTCTATGAGGCCTGTCCAGGGGTATTGTTGGTTTGGCTCTGTCTCCCTGTCTACTGAACTGTGCCTCTATGAGGCTGGTTGGACTCCTCTTAGGATGGTGCCTCTATGAGGCCTGTCCTGAGGTATTGTTGGTTTGGCTCTGTCTCCCTGTCCACTGAACTGCGCCTCTATGAGGCTGGTTGGACTCCTCTTAGGATGGTGCCTCTATGAGGCCTGTCCTGAGGTATTGTTGGTTTGGCTCTGTCTCCCTGTCCACTGAACTGCGCCTCTATGAGGCTGGTTGGACTCCTCTTAGGATGGTGCCTCTATGAGGCCTGTCCTGAGGTATTGTTGGTTTGGCTCTATCTCCCTGTCCACTGAACTGCGCCTCTATGAGGCTGGTTGGACTCCTCCTGGGATGGTGCCTCTATGAGGCCTGTCCTGGGGTATTGTTGATCTGGCTCTGTCTCCCTGTCCAATGAACTGCGCCTCTATGAGGCTGGTTGGACTCCTCTTAGGATGGTGCCTCTATGAGGCCTGTCCAGGGGTATTGTTGGTTTGGCTCTGTCTCCCTGTCCAATGAACTGCGCCTCTATGAGGCTGACTGGACTCCTCCTGGGATGGTGCCTCTATGAGGCCTGTCCTGGGGTATTGTTGGTTTGGCTCTGTCTCCCTGTCCACTGAACTGCGCCTCTATGAGGCCTTTTCTGGGGTATGTTGAATGTGATATATCTAATGTTGGGTATTTAAACCATGGCTTTGAATAATTCTCCAGTGGGGTGGCCTGGAGTATCTCATGTTGGGCAATATGGGCAGATATTGGGTATATGGATGGGTGTTTGAGCTAGAGTTTTGGATATAACACTCCCTTGGGTGATAGCACTGTCAGATAGCATGGTCCCCACAAGATGGCGATCATGTGAATCTTAGGTGGGGTAGCCCAGAGTATCTCATTGGGAAAGATGTTTAAACTTGGGTTTTGGATATGACACTCCCTTGGGCGATAGCACTGTCAGATAGCACGGTCCCCACAAGATGGCGATCATGTGAATCTTAGGTGGGGTAGCCCGGAGTATCTGATATTGGGAAAGATATTTAAACTTGGGTTCTGGATATGACACTCCCTTGGGCGATAGCACTGTCAGATAGCACGGTCCCCACAGGTTGGCGATCATGTGAATCTTAGGTGGGGTAGCCCGGAGTATCTGATATTGGGAAAGATGTTTAAACTTGGGTTTTGGATATGACACTCCCTTGGGCGATAGCACTGTCAGATAGCACGGTCCCCACAGGTTGGCGATCATGTGAATCTTAGGTGGGGTAGCCCGGAGTATCTGATATTGGGAAAGATGTTTAAACTTGGGTTTTGGATATGACACTCCCTTGGGCGATAGCACTGTCAGATAGCATGGTCCCCACAAGATGGCGATCATGTGAATCTTAGGTGGGGTAGCCCGGAGTGTCTGATATTGGGAAAGATGTTTAAACTTGGGTTTTGGATATGACACTCCCTTGGGCGATAGCACTGTCAGATAGCATGGTCCCCACAGGTTGGCGATCATGTGAATCTTAGGTGGGGTAGCCTGGAGTGTCTGATATTGGGAATGATGTTTACACTGGGGTGTACTTGACTATAACCTCTGTATTACTCGAACGCAAATATTTTGGATGGTCCGCAGATATGATAAAACTGAGTGTTGCAGGCCCCAGAGCGCATTCAGGATTTGGGGTGTGTTATCACTGATACCCATCAGAATAAGATATCACGGTCAACACAGGTTGAAAATTGTCATGTGAATCTTAGGTGGCATAGCCTGGAGTCTATGATATTGGGCAATGTGATTCACTTCATGGAGGCTCTGCGCTCAGAGAATTTGAGTGCAAAACATCACGTAGATTACAGGAGTCATGGCCTGTATTTGTCTGTTGCCATATTTGTGGTTGTTTCTGTCGCTACGTGCCAATTCCTGTCGCCGTTTTTGTCCCAATTATTGCTACTGTTTCTGTCACCGTTTCTGTCAACCCGTCCCAATTCTGTTACTGTCTCTGTCACCGTTTCTGTCACCGTTTCTGTCAACCTGTCTGAATTCTGTTACTGTTTCTGTCACCGTTTCTGTCAACCTGTCTGAATTCTGTTACTGTTTCTGTCACCGTTTCTGTCAACCAGTCTGAATTCTGTTACTGTTTCTGTCACTGTTTCTGAATGTTTCTGTACCTGCTTCTGTCTGAATTTCTGTTTCCACTTCTGTCACCTTTTTCTGGTGCCACCTTGAGTCCCTGATTCCAATTTTCTAATTTCCTGGTAACTTGTCAGTGGCAATGCGATGATTTTGAATGTTCAAAAACAGGATACTCACGGCCAGCCCTTGATAGGATGGAGCACAAGGGTGGCACATAAAACTGCATAATTCAGTTTTATGAGCAGATTGGGAAAGGTTTCAGAATAAGGGAAACCAGTAAAAGAGGAATGAGTTGTTGAGGGCAACATGGCATTTATGACAATTGCGGCATAAAGACATATGTAACCGCTGAATTTTACTTTGTTTAGGTTGAATGAATCAGGCCTAAGACTTGGACTACGGAACAAACCAGTGTCCTCAGAGGGCTCCTTAAAGTGGGTCGTTCATCAAATTATGCGTCTATTGCGCAACTTTTATTCTAGGCCAGATACCGAGATTTCATTTGCAATGTGACCAAACGTGACACATTTGATTATTCCGAATTAATTTATAAACGCCGAGCTGGCAACGGCAGTTGGCAGAACGGTAGAATGGCAGTTGGCAGAATGGCAGAAGTCGGCAAAATGTATTGTGAGTGTTTTTAGCTCTTTTCAGCTATGTTTATACTATGGCAAAAATAGTTTCAACTACTACATCGAGGCTATGCCTTCTGACGTCAAAAGTGCATCAACATTCCACCCTGATACATCGTTTGAGCTTCGATTGAGTACCTCAGTCTCTTTAACGAAGCCAGTTGGTGTGATACCTTTGTTAACCCTTTCTAGCTCACTCCAGTCAACGAGGCCGTCATCCAGAACATCCGGCACATCACCTGCAAACAAACTACCGCTTGCCTCATCATTTTCTCGTGGTTGGCCAGCCTCCCGCGTCTTGCGCTCGAATCTTTCAAATTCATCCACCAACTCCTCATCTGTAATTGATTCCGGATCCGCAAGATAATCCTGGTCATCAGAGTCTGTTGCGAGGGGAGGGATCCATGCAAATGATCTTTGTAGCTCGTCAATGTCCAGTCCGTTTTTTTGTAGCAAGGTAGCCACGAACTTCTGCGCGAGTACGATCAGGGGCATTGGGACATGTTTTTTGGTCAATTAAATGTTTGAGATGGTTATCGTCACGGCCCTCAATGGATGCCGAGCAGTAGTTGCATGTGAAGAAGTAGCGGTTTGAGTTGTTTTTGACTTTCTCCCCAATAACAAAGTGGTCAGACACAAGTTTTCGGACGGGACAGCCCTTGGACTTTGAGGCCATGGTAACAACCACCAAGATACATTCTAAGTTTTCTAACATATGTCAAATTTTTACTGTTTGTTAGTCAGAACAAATACTAGGTCATAATATTTCTGCCGACTTCTGCCAACCACCTTCGACCTACTGCCGGCAATTGCCACTTGGCAATTGCCACCGGCAGAATGGCAGCATTCTGCCAACAACACTACGTGCAACACAAGTACTTATGGAGGTCCGCACTGGACAAAAATACAACTACTCGGATGATCTCCTTGATAATCAACGGTCCGTCGTGCACTGCAAAGGAAGATTCAAACGGTTGTATTCAGTTTGGCAAACCATGTATCTGACATATCCAAAACTCTAGTTCAAACACCCAGGAAGGCACAGTTATGATGGGCATGAAAGAAGAACAAATTCAAATACACAAAAAGGGCCTAGCAGAGCCCCAAAAGGACAGGATACACTGGACAGCAATCAAAGAAGACAACGATGGTGTAAGTTGTCAATGAAAGAAACAGTGAAATTTGAAAGAGAAAAAGATTCAACTCGCACGTTCGCTTATATAAGTAGTGCCATATCTGTCACCATATCTGTCACCTTTTCTGTCACCACTTCTGTCTCAATTATGTCACCGTTCCAATTTCCACTTCTGTCACTTTTTCTGTCACCACCTCTATTGCGAGGATAAATCAGAAAAATAATAACAGGGTGGTACTTCATAAAGTCAAATATAGAGTCAAATAATGTCATACGCCACATGTTAACTTATCACTAGAAATACATTCCAGCCTCCTCTGGCGTGAGAAAGGCTGAGTGACATTATCTGCTAAGTTGGGCTGAACCGAGCGTTAGCTCGGGGTGGGATGCAAGCAGGTGGAGCCGTTGGGAGGGTGGGAAAACCTGCTTATGAGTTCTATCATGCCATGACTCCTTGACTCAAAACACATGCTTAAAGACTCGAGACGATGGAATAACGGAAAATAAAATTACGGGTGTAAAACGCGGTGCGAATTAAAAGGGAGTGGTGGGTGGGTCCAAACAACGATTTTAAGGGCGAGTGAGGATGCTCAGTATATGCCCAACTCGATTCGGACGAAGATAGAGACACGAATGAAGCTTCCGCTCAGCTGGAAGTGTGGTGCCGGGATACTCCGGCAAGCTGCATTACACGGCACCTGTACATTCCAAATTGGTGCCTCAGAAGTCACATTGATCTGACAGAATTTCAGCAAAGGTGGGATAGATAAGGACTGCTTCTAACACTCATCAAACATCGCTATTAGCTAGCTATGGTCTCAATGCCTGTGGTGGATCACGGTAGGTTTGTACAGGACCATCTAAGCATATCGCTGAAAATTTTTGCATTGCAGAAGCTCGGGTTGTGAAAGTGTTCCAGTTGCCTGTAATGGACTCTCAGCCACAATTTTGGGCTCAACAAGAAGTACAGACCGAACCACCTTCCCCACCAACAGAACAGGGCGTACATGAAGTTAATGCGCAAGCTGAAAACCTTCTGCAATTAATTCAAGCAAACTTCATGTGCCCAATGTAAGTGGTTTACAACATATCTCGAATTGCCAAATTCATATCAAGCCCAGATGCTGGGATGTCCTGTCAGCATGATGACAATATAATCTTTTCATTCAGCTAATTCTTGCTTAGTGTGGCCCCAGCGACTTACTGCCCGGAAGGGCATGCTGCCTGTATATATTGCTTAATGCAATCGGCCTTGCACCAAGGCTTTGAGAGATGCCCAGTGTGTCGGTCAAAAAGTTCGGTAGCAGGAAGTCACCCTTTTATCTATTTGAGGGTCATCCAGGATGCTGTGGTGTCCTTGATGGATGGAATTTCCCGAGAGTTCGTAGATATTTCCACTGAAGATGGGGAGTCACAGGAAGATGAATTGAGGTCCTATGCACGTGGACCTATACGGGATAATTGGCAAGTTCGATCCAGGTGATCCCGAGTTCCACTGGATATCAATGTAAGGCTGAGATTTTTCTGACTGTTGGCGCAGGGTTGGTTTAAAAATTTTGCATGACCTTCGGCAACTCCGGCATGTAGGCTTCCTGGACTTGGGTCGCATTGTTTCATGGGCCCGTACCCAGCTGCCAGCCTCATCGACTCCACCTGCAGTCAGAACCTCGTACCAGCCTGCATCCACAGTTGGTACCTCAGCCGAGCTTCCCATGTAAGGTGGTCTTACGAGTTTATGTGGTGTGGAACTCATTCCACACTGACTTAGCTTACTGGATTAGATGCTTCCCATCTGGAGACAACCTCTTACAGATATGTCACTACTCAGCCCTTCACAGTTCATCAGAGACTGCCAGCCCCGGTCAAGCTTTTGATATCCAGCAATGTGCAACTACTCAAATAAGGTGTGGCATGGAATTTAGGAGTTGGACCGGAGAATATGTTAGGAATTGGGCCCAGATCAACCCAGGCTTAATGAGATCTATCCATACGCACGTCATTCAACTTGTAATATCAATATTTGCTAGGAAAGTCGCATACTTAATACAAGATCTGCCAAAGGGTTCATTACGGAAAAACGATAAATGATCTTTAATTGGCTGACTACGCATCAGGCATTTGCTCCACAACACTATATTGATCAATGCGTCCTTATAGGACCGGTGAAGCGATTCCTGGGGAGAGAGCCTCCATGAGTTCTTTTCTTGGGGGACTTGATTGTGTTCTGTGATGTGAGGTCCATGTCACTGTGTCCTTATAGGACCGGTGGGACCATTCCTGGGGAGAGCGCCTCCGTGAGGTCTTTCATTGGGTGTTTTGATTATGTTCTGTGATGTGAGGTCCATTTCACTGATTTTCACTAAGTTCTAAGGTTCTGTCCTATAGTAACCACTGAGATGAGATATTATGAAGCATTGTCACATTAGGCATGCAAACACTGCTGCCGCTGGGTAAACTAATGGAGAGTCATCAAGAGGGCCTGGTTGGCGCCCTGCTCACAAATCCTGCCCAACTGTGTTCTCCCTGAATCATCTCTTCCTCATCTATTATAGCACCCTGTTCTGCTAAGGTCCAACCATACATAGAGTCAGAGGTTAACACATCATTCCAGTTTAATTTGAATAATGGAGTCACCTCACCAGGTGTGGATGGTGAAATGCTCATCTGGCCCAAGGCGTTTTGGATTGAATGCTAACATCCCCAGGTGTGAGTTGAGCAGAAATAAAATATTTGAATAATATTGCTCGCCTGAGACGCAGATCCTGATGGCATGGCAGACTCTGTGGCCTTGCCCTTGCCCTTGTCCCGGCTGGAAATTCGAGTAGGGGGCTGCTTGGAGCCGGCATCTTTGGGAACAGGCTGCATCCAACATACTGATGAGAAGGTGGGACTATGACATCAATGGACCAACCTTTAGCGTTTTGGCCTTCTTGATTTTCCTAACTCCAATAGGTGCAGAGGACTGTTCAATAAATTAGCCACATACTGGGTATTCTGATGAGAAACATACAGCTGGACGCTTGGATGATGATCCGGGAACAGGCACATTGCGAGGCGTGGGTGTAGGCAGAGCAGTCTCAGCTGCGGCTTTTGTAGCAGCTTCAGCCTTAGCATTGGCTTCAAGCTGGGCCTTTTTGACATTGGCCTCAAAAAGTTCCAGGGCAACCCTCAGGCAGTTGTGCCAACTGTCCTCATCAGTCTCCACCATCGGAGCACAATCGTTTCCGCTGAGTTTGGCCTCCAGCTCCATCGTTGCATAATCCAGAATGTCAGTTGTCTGATCCGGTAAAGAACCGTAAAGTGATCGGATGACAGGATCAATGTCAGGCCTTGAAGACCAAGTGGCCCAGTCTGTGATCTAGTTTATAATGCAGAAAGCCAGAACAAATGGGACACTTGCCAAATTTGATCGACATTTCCCAATCATCTGGAGGCAACCAGCCAGGACCTGGAGGACTTATCCTTCTGTTATGATAAGTAACCAGCGCCCAGGAAAATAGGACGTCTGAGAACCACTGTCTTGTCATTTTATTTGATGTGGGTAGGACCTGGCGCCCACTATTATCTGGGGGAGGGTAGAATTTGCTCCGGACTTCCTCGAAAAAAGCCTCGCGTATGTGGTGCATATATGCAGATCCTCTGAAAAATTTTCCTCTCGTGCCTTCGCTGAATCGTTGGCACAGTGACATGTACCAGAGCCCATACATCGCGTGCTGTGCAAATCTAAAGACAGGTTTTGACGTGGCTGGTATATACAGTATGTGATGATGACCGCGCAAGACAGGAAAACAGTCGCGCGTTGGATCATAAGCCCCGCAGTGATAAAGTATCGGACGCCAATCTGGAGGCACGGTGCCGGCCCTGGCCCAGTAGATGCCGAGATCCATCAAAGTGACAGACCGAAATACCTCCATCGTGCTTGGGAGGAAATTCAACGCGACGCAACGAAGCAGAAAGGCTGAGTGTAATTCTAAAAATGGCCAGACTGACGGCTAGGGTTCTGTGATTGTGTTAGCTGGTTGATTTTGATAAGTGATAGAAGCGGCAACAGAAACGGCAACAGAAACGGCAGCAGAAACGGCAGCAGAAGCGGCAACAGAACAGCGGCAACAATATTATATGTGTATTCACTGCGTTTAACGCGTGATTTGACAAAGTTGCACAAATCCACCAAAATAAACTTACACGTATGAAGGGCCGCGCTGGACAAAAAATACGAAAATTGATTTTCACAAAACTTGTGAGAAAGATTCTGATGTCCAAGTTCTTTGATAACAGAAAAGTGAAATGCAAAGAACCAAAAGCAAAACACAAACGACAAATTCAATTCTCATTGGTACACTGACTAAGCATGCTATGTGGCAGCCTACCTCACAGTCTGTCCTCGACTCCCGATACTGGGCCATTCTGTATTGCTACAGTCTCATTAGTTCTTCTCTCCCAGATATCGGCTTGGGAAATATTCTGCCTAAGCTCTCAAGTTATAGCCTGGAAGTACTCCTGCGCAATCTACTATCTTCAACTCGCAATTGTATGTCCAAGGCCCACCCACCCAATGCTTTCGAGGTCAGTATTCAGTGAGAACGTCCAAGGCTTGGGTCTCACCATAACATTGGTCTCAGATAACCTTTGCAATGACACGAAGTACATTACATCGTAGACTTCAGCAGGATGGAGCATGCCAACTCCAACTAAACACCACGACGAATTCCCCCCCTGAACCTGCTCAAACTCGGTGAGACAAATTCGAACATCCCTCTTCGGTGATTAAACATGTGGCCGTCACAGATGTCTCATGGACACGAAACCCAGCTTGGTTCGAGCTGACATCTCCTAGTGTACACCACAATCACGCACTCTTTTGGTCTCTCACATCGCTTGGGTTTCTAGAAACTCGCTCGAAAAGCCTGGAATTATCATTAACGAATCGTCCTTCTCCTTAGCACTAGGTTTTCCTTCCTCTGGACAATCACGTATTATCCTTGGATTTCCTTTACTACATAAGCGCCCATCATACAAGCCAACTCTTCCCGTGAGTGAAAGCTTTCGGTTTAGGTTGCTCTACAGATCTAACTTCAGTATATATCGATCCACATACGGTACGGTGACTTCAGCCAGCAATGCGAGGAGTTCCCAGTGGATCAGTGCTTTGCCCCGTTGTCTGTCATTGCATGCAGGGTGTCTAAGGTGCAAGAATAGCTTCGCACACGAAAATGGATTGAGGCTATCATAATGAGCGATGAAAGGGACCCGGAGTGATGGTCAGATGTTAGGGCGTTGGGGTGGATGTGGGTAGATTATGCAGCAGAGCAGACGGAGGTGATACATAGAAAATGGTGAGCCGCTTAGATGTCATATTTCATTCTGACGCTAAAAGTTGTGGCTGTTACCAGGCACCCGGTGCTCTTCGACGCTATCATTCAGTCGAATGGAACCTTCGTTAGCACTCGTGGTTCTACTACGTCCACACTAGCTAACCATAGAGTACAGTCGTGGCATGACGGAGCGACTCGGCTCATTAAATGGGGTAGCCGGGCGCAGATGACCATTGATGCGGATCGGAATGCTAGAATCAAGACTGTTTTACGCTTGACAAATCCTTGGCTACAATGTTCTTGTATTTCTGATTTATGACGTGCATAATGGTCGCTCTCGGGCTTGAATTCACAGGCAAAAGCAACAAAAGCTTAATCTTCTTCTTAGTGCACACCGGCCTACATCGGTATGCTTCATTAAATTTGTCGGCATCTCAGCCGTCACAACAGCAAAGAGTGATGCATGGCACCTGTTCTACTATGCTAATAAACCGCAAACACTCGCTTGGCAGCATTAAGCCTTGCGCTATCACCAAGTTGAGTTCGAAGAACAATGTGAGTGTGGTGACCAAGCTCATTATAACCTTGCTGTATGGTCTCGAGAGGTAGTGGAATTTGCTGACTCCAGGTTTGTCCATGCCCAACAATGGTTGAAATTGTACACGTGTGCGCAGCGACTTTATCTATGGTCATCTGTTTCCCAATGCAGCCAAATGTAAACAAGAGTTGAACAAGAGACTTCGAAATCACAAAATTGACAACTAATTTTGTTCGATTCATTATTTTGAAATAAGAGAAACTCGCAATTGATCTTTCTCACTGGTTTTGTGAAAATCGATTTTCGTATTTTTGTCCAGCGCAGCCCTTCATACAGGTGCATCCAACTGTCTTGCTGTGTAGATCTGAGCAGCGTCATGATTCTCGATGGAATGATGGCGAAGTTTTCAAAACAACAACATCGAAGAAATCTGCTACATTCAGTTGTTGAAAATAATTATAATTTCATTGCTTGCAGTTTTGAGAACTTGGAACTTAAATATTTCAAAAATCACCTAGACCACTGGGTGCCTTCATTTTAACCATAACCGTTACAAATAGCGCGTAAGTGGACCTCAGTAGTATTACCCTGATCATCCCACAGAAGTTTAGAACCATGGCAGATCTGATGGAATGGCAGCCTGCACCTGGCACTAATGCTGGAGATGGTCATAGGATCAACATAGGCGCAGCATTCAACAATGCAGGTCCAAGTGCCAATGCAGGTCCCAGTGGTCCCAGTCCAACCACTTCCCGTGTCACACGATCCAGCTCTGCCCGTGTCCGAAATGCAGTCAATGACCAGGCCCAGGATCAGGAGGAGGAGGACGATGACAACGATAACGGAGATGGCGGCGGGGCTGGTGACCATAATCACAATGGCGAAGACCGTGACGAGGAGGAAGAAGAAGATGATGATGATGATGATGATGAAGAAGAAGAAGAAGAAGAAGAAGAAGAAGAAGAAGGTGATGATGACGAGGACGACAGCAGGAGAGCAGGGGGGCACAGTGGCAGCACTGCAGCTGCAACATCCGCTGTTGCACAAGGCGGGAGGGGCAGGAGAAGAGGAAGAGGAGGAAGAGGAGGAAGAGGAGGAAGAGGGGGTGCTAGAGGAGGTGCTAGAGGAGGCGCCACAGAACAAATACCTGAGGCCCTGGGCCGGGCTTTGAAAGGCAGGTCACGTCCGATATTGTGTGGTCAGTCCAGATTGCTGTGAATACCATGAATACTCCCCAACTCTTTTCTCTTAGATACTGATGATGCGATGGGTAGGCAGCAGAGAATGATTTGACTTGACTACACCTGCGGCTAATGCTTCCTCATCAGATATTGACATGGATGATCTTGTGTCTCCATGGAATCAGCGCGTTGTTCATGGCCAAAGTCAGGCCATTGACACTGGAGGTAGGTCTTGACATTGTCATATTCTGGTTGTTCCCCCGTATGCTGATCCAATGGTGGGCAGAGGGGTTGCCTGGTGGGTGTCTGGTTTACCTGGAAAGATCTAGTTGGCCGCAGTCTGACCTCCCAGCTTGTGGACAGCTGATTCCAGGTCTGAGGTGCTGGCGCTGGAGGCGTCTTCACTGATGCAAGATGATGGCACCATGACTAAATGCAGCAGCTGCTCTGATTTTGGAGAGTTGAAGAAATGTGCCCGTCCAGGTTGTCCTCATGCCCTGTGCTTCAAGAAGTCAAATTTGCACCCCTGTGTCAGCAATCTAGGCCCGGGTGAATTTTGGTGCCCCCCATGTTGGAGCCGCAGGCGCTCCAGTCCACTACCGGTGAGTCAGCCACAACTGAATCCTGGACTTGCGGGTGACCCCGATTTGTTGACAGTACTCAGTGGTTGCACAAGGTGCCTACCTCACTGGCCGAAGTCACACCCATCGCCCACTGGTGTTTCACACCATCGCCTTGAAACTTGGCGGATACCCGGAACTTCTGTTGCGCTGTCAGTTGGAGGAAGAATTTTCACCTTGCAAAAATATGGTGAGTATTATTTCAATTAACCTGAGCTGATGTATGACTGACATCAAATATGTGTCAGTTGCAGTGCACCAACATTGAACTGGTCACTGGAGCTGCCTGCCTGCCTAACGTCCGTGCCTGTGTCCGCAATGCCCTGGCCTTTGTGAAGGCCAGAAGAGAGACTGATTTGTTGGTTCTGTTAGACACACACTCAGATTATGGGAATGGTGAGTTGGTGCACAGTGTTGACAAACATGGAAATGCCTGGACTCAGGACGCCTCGGAGGTGGGCCCAGGCTGACTCTTCCTGTTTTCTTTTGTTGACCCGGATCTCAGGTGCTCCGCCATTACTTGGGCCCAGAATTGTGGAAGCGGTCCCTGGACATGACTGGCACGAAAGGAATGATCCTGCTGGCCTGTGGTCCAGCGTTCACGATGCGCTCACATTTTGAAACGATCAAGTCATTGGTCTCCAGGTATGATTTCCCTTGCCCCAGGGTCTTTTTGATGACATTAGTGAATTCAGCAACCGCCTGTTGTTCATCATCGGCTTCACTGCTCATTCGGTTCAACCCTCTGTGGTCATGCCCTTCATGCTGAGGGTGATCATACAGGTCTACATTCATCAAATGCCTGTTGAGCTAGCCCTGGAGCAGGAGATTGTCAGCTGGACTTTGCTGTCCCATACCCCTGTGGTGTTAGTCTGTTGGAATCAACAAAGGCAGCTGATTAGCCGGAGATACATAGCGTCCACTCCTTCTGGTTGTGTGTGGGGCCTTCCCCCCCGGTGTGGCAATCATTTATGCAATCCAGGGCTCGGGGACATCCGAGCCAAACGGTCGCCTCGACAAGGCGCCAACTTCGTGAAGTTCCGGTGCAACCGCTGTGGCTGGGATTCCGGTGGTTACAAACCCAAACCTGGCTGGCTTCATCAATTCTCTCCCCATGATTGTTTGTTTTCTCATAACTTTCCTCTCACTGTAGAGCAGGAGGATTACATCCGTTTGTGCCCCAGCCGTACTCCTCATTCATGTTGAGTGCCCTGGGGCATTCATATGTTCATGTTTTAGATAATGTTGCGCATTTGCTGCCCCCTTCCATATGTCAAATAATACAGCCCTGTTTCCCATGCAGCAAGTGTGAACGCCAACACCATCCGCAGATATGCACTCGAGTTTGCGCGTTCCTTTGAATGCTGGATTGGTCCACGCTATCCACGACCCCAGACCACGATATTGAACTGAGTACATAGGGTACATCGTCTACTTCATTTTCTATTTTACCTTTTTGCACTTCTATGGAGAACATCGCAATGTAGACTGGTGACCAGCCCATCTATGAGGCAAACCATCGATAGATGGACTGGTAAAACTGGGTTTGTATGGATCAAGAGCAGATTCTCAGGATAACGTGACCTCTAGCCAATAAAAAAACTAGGTTTTTTCAACAAGTATTAAAATAAACAATAACATTGTCACTAATTGACGCGACACGACGCGTCCTCATGCTGCAAAATCAATGGACCAGCAATCACTGATACAGGGAATCCACGTTGCATCACTCAATGCTCTTCGAGCAAGAAGATGCCCTTCGTCGGTACAGGTAGATGGTCCCTACCGTTATTCATACTTAACAATAAGAAACTCGAAGAGGAAATGATTGAACTTGGGAAAATCCTTCAGCAGGAGATAAAGTCCTCCAGTGAAACACGCACTGACATAGATAACCCTCAAGCGGCATTCTGCCGCTTCAAGAGTAAAGCAATTCAACTGTGCCGCTCAACAGCCAAGAGACTGATACCAATGAAGAAACAAAAGCTCTTGTCACAGCTCCGCGCAACCAACAATGACCCGAACCTACCGGACGAGGATAAACACATCGTCAGTATCGCACTGCAGGATCAACTTAACCAATTAGAAATAATTAAACATGATAAAACAAGAGACAATCTTATGGCGAGAATGCGACTCGAAAACGAGTCCCCAGCAAGTAAACTCTGGGCTAAGTCAGGCAAAGATCAGAAATCGAGAGACACCATCATTGAACTAAAAACGTCAGACTCACCACCAGAGGCCCCAATCTATATACAGCGTTCAGACAAAATGTCAGAGCTGTCAAGAGACTACTATGACTCACTCCAAAGGGAAGGCATATCACCAACAAACGAGAGAGAAGAAGCGCTGGAATCCACTCTGAATGCAATCATGATTAAACTATCCCCCCTGAACAAACAGGAACTTGCTAAATCACTCACCAAAGCGAATGTTGAGGAGGTTCTAAAACTCCTACCGAACGGAAAAGCTCCTGGAATCAACAGTATACCATACGAGTTCTAAAAATGGCTCCAGGAAAAATCAAAAACAATTCCGAGGAAGAGAGGAGAAGATCTACCTTTTGACCTAACTGAATGTCTGACGGCAGTCTTAACGATATCGAAACACATGGAGTCGTGAAGGACTCAGGCTTCTCGGAAGGCCTACTGCATCCGCTGTATAAGAAAAACGACAGGAGAGAAATCGCAAACTACAGACCTATAACCCTACTAAACGGGGACTACAAGACCTTCACTAAGGCCCTGGCGCTTAAAATAGCCCGCTCAGTACCATCAATAATACATGAGAATCAAGCCGGTTTCGTACCTGGTAGAAGTATTACCGACCAAATACGCCTCACGCAAATGGTTATGGAGTACGCGGAGGTGGAAGAGGAAAACGGTGTCATAGTAGCGCTAGACCAAGAAAAGGCGTATGATAAGATTACATGTGGAAAGTCTTAGATAAATTCGACTCACCGGACAACTTCACGAACACAGTAAAAGCCTTGTATAACGGCGCAGAAACATCTGTAATGATAAATGGCGAGATCAGCTCAAAGTTCAATATAACAAGGGGAGTGCGCCAAGGTGATCCCCTATCATGCTTACTATTTGACCTAGCCATTGAACCCTTAGCCGAAATGCTACGGAAATCAGAACTTACCGGTTTTAAAGCCAAGGACATGGCTTACCACATTGTAGTAACTATGTTTGCTGATGATACAACCGTATACCTATCGGAAAAAGACAGCTTTAAGACCCTAAATGATATCTTATCCTGCTGGTGCAAAGCGTCAGGAGCACGTTTCAACTCATCTAAAACGGAAATCATACCAATCGGCTCACGAGAATATGGTGATAATGTGATATCCTCGAGAAAAATAAGCCCTACACAAGACCCGCTGCCTCCTAGTATCAATATCGCGGGAGAAGGAAAAGCCATAAGAACTCTTGGGGTCGGCAATGGCATAGAAGAACAAGCCATATGGTCCCCGATCCTAGAAAAAAAATAGAAAAAGCCCTACAACGCTGGGAAAAAATGGCATCCCTCCATAGAAGGACGCAAAATCATCGTTGAAAGAACGATTGGAAGTATGACCCAATACTTAGCTACCGCACAGGGCATGCCAAAAGAGGTGGAAGACATCCTCTCAGCCAAGTCAAGTAAGTTTGTCTGGGACAATGAAGGAAAGAACACAGTAAGCATGAAGACGCTATGTGCTCCTATAGCGAAAGGCGGAAAGAATGTACTTCACCTCAAGAGCCATAACAAAGCCATCAAGCTCAAATGGCTGAAAGGCCTACTCGCCCCAATAGAAACAAGACCTCGGTGGGCATTCTTCGCGAATGCCATTCTAGCGAAAGCAGCACTAAACTCACCCATAGTTAAACATAGCGCCAAGATCAACCCATTCCTCCAGACTTGGTCCCCGTCCCAAAAGAGGCTACCCTCCAACCTCCGTCGAATCATCCAAACCGCAAAGAAATACGGTACCCGTTGGGAGGCCATCACCATCAATCCTTCCATCGCAAGGGAACTACCAGTGTGGTTTCACATTGGCGCTTCGGCGGACCTAAATAAGTTGAACAACCACCTATATGCGGCATGCTTAAGAGACAATCATCTCGCCACCTCCGTGGGCCATATTGAAGCAATAGCTAACAGGAACTCACCGCTCCATAGACAAAATAAAAACTGCACGTGTAACCACTGCGCACAAGACCGAACAGAGTCGAGGTGTGAAAAACCCTACAAATGCACTAAATTAGCACAAAGTATCCTCCGGTGCATCTTACCAAAGTGGCATCCACTGACGAGCTCCCCGTCCTACCCGCTCAACATAGCACCTGAGCAAATCACTGACGAAACAGATGAAAACGACCAAACACAATGATATTTGACCCTACTTACCCATCCCCAGACTCGCTGTCCTCCGGGTTCAGAATCTTTGTGTCTTCTAACACGCCGTGCAACACACCAGCAAGCCAAGCACCTAAACCACCCGGTGAACAACCACAACTGTCCATTATAACCATCGCCGATACTCACAAAGTGGATAAGGATGGCTTCCACATCTCAGGAGGCGGAGCATGGTTTGGGACGAACGATCCTCGCAATAAGTCCATCAAAGTGCTGGAGCACCTCGCAGCACCTGGCGCCGGAGAAATAGGTGCCATACTCTCAGTAATATCAACTCTTCCCACTAACGTTTCCTTACAACTAATGATCAAATCATCCGTCCTCCGGAAAAGCCTCACCACTAACCTCGCGAACCTCGAGGACATTGACTGGTTGGACCACCCCAACAAGACACTGATGAAATCTTTAGTTGCCAGTCTAAGAAAACGATGCGCACTTACCACGCTGACGGACGTTGGCAAATTGACAGATAAAGCAAGCTACAAACACGCTATTGATCTAGCGAAAAACGGCATGATCAAGGATAAGCATGACGGTATCATGATTAAGGTCGACGCACCAGATGAACTATCCGGAGTAAAACTGTGCATAGGCACCCAACGCCTCTTCTATAAGAACATTAGGAACATACAGAGCAAAAGCAAGCAAAGGAGAGAAACTAACATGAATATGGCAAGAACTCTGCACGCAGTCGGCGAAGTAAACGATACAACCCCTATAAGCGATCAAGTCTGGCTATCCATTAGAAACAAGGACATCCCTAAAAACATACGAGGTTTCCTTTGGAAAATCCTACACGGCGCCTACAAGATAGGACAATTCTGGGATAAAATACCTCAGTTTGAACATAGAGGACAATGTGGACTTTGCCGCATACCTGAATCAATGGAGCATATTCTCCTAGATTGCGGCAAATCGTTAGCATCAAGAGTAATCTGGAAAGCAGCCAAAGACCTATGGCTTAAGCGAGAAACCAGTTGGCCAGAAATAAGCTTCGGCACAATACTAGGGTGTAACTTGATGACCCTCCGCAACTCAGACAGTAAAACGAAAGTAGGAGCCACCAGGTTGTTCAAAATCTTGATCCTTGAATCAGCCCATCTCATTTGGAAGCTTCAATGCGAAAGAACCATCAGATTCGATGGAGATAAGGACAAATACCATTCCGAGACAGAAATTTACAATAAATGGGTACACGCCATTAACATGAGACTAAAATTCGATAGGCTACTCACCGAGTCATTGAGATGCGGTAAACGGGCTACTAAAATTGACCTGGTCCTAAAGACCTGGAGCGGCCTCTTCAAAGACGAAGACAACCTTCCGGATAACTGGATCCGACAAACAGGGGTTTTAGTGGGTATGACGCCTCACCGGCCTCCGGGCCGGAATAGGTAAAACTCATCGAGATGTAGAGTTCCACACTGCAAACGCGTACATCAAGTATTTCCTCTGGGTGAATTTCCTTACAACTTAACGGGTGAAACTGCCTATCCTTAAACATATCCTCTAGAATTGACCTTGTCAGTTGCTATTGGGTAATATCGTTCCACCAAAAGAAAAAAAGAAAAAAATCACTCAATGCTTTGGATCGTTTCACACATGATCTTATCAAAGAACGCCTTCCCACCGACTATTTTCAGACACTCTGTGATTCTGACCGAACGCATGCATTACGCGCATGCTTGATTGTGTACATGTTGACGAGTAAGTTCAGAGATGCCAGCAGGAAAATCAAAAGGAGACGCACTTCTGTGCACCAGGGAATGCTGGCTTACACGGAATTTGACGGTAATGACAACTTACTCTGATTCGAGCCTGCTGCGTTTCGAAAGCTTCGATGTTGCTGCTGATGTACTGGGAGGGGAAATTCAAAAAGGTTTGCTATGTCTTGTAGTAACACGTCAGATATAAATATTACGAAAGAGTAGACCATAAGACTTACCCACTTAGTTTAAGCTGACCGTCATGAACACTGCGCTGAGAATATGTTCCGACCCAGTAGTGCGACTGGTCGTCTTGTTATTCAATAAAGGAGAAGTCGATTTCAAGTGTTAGTTCCAATAGGTTAGGACAGTGCTTGAGGAAGCATAAGAGCCCGATTGGGGACATCGACGAAGGGAGAGGAGTTTCCAGAAATTTGTTCAGCACGATATTTGGCCATGCCTGTGCCATTTCTGAGGCGGCAACATCGTCCAAAGAGATCTCACACCCTATATCAAGATGTACGTGCGTCGATCGGTTGAGTGACAGAAGCGGGTGGAGGTCTTCCAGCTTTAAAACAGAGAATAAGTCATGTGAAGGACGTTCTGCAACCATAATTTGGAGGCGGTGAAGCGAGTAGTGACTGACGGAAGTGGAGAGGCAACAAAATAATTGTGCCAAGACAGATGCTCCTGTACGGTCATCGCTGAAGATCGAGAGGTTCGTAAGCTTGTTCCGCATTCTGCTCACGAGGTCAACAGCGGATGGGATATCTTGTGCATGCACGTCAAGTACTCGAAGCTGCTCAAATAAAAGCTCGTTCTGGAATTGGACATTTGGTTGGAGAGCAAGTTTAAGCTCTAGTAAAGATGGCAGACGTGATAGATGGTTCAGAACCTCGGCATCGAGGTTTCCACAGTGAATTGTAGTGAGATGATGCAGATGGCAAAATTTTTCAGAAACAGAGTGGCGAAGATGACTTGATAGGGCCACTGAATGCACGGTCAATTTTCGCAAAGAGGGGCATGTAGGAGCAATGATCGAGGAGATGAACTGTAGCAGGTCAGGAACTGATGAGATGGCCCAGACTTCAAGGAATAAGGACGTGAGAGACTCACTGGCAGTGGTCATGATTCGACAGCCCATAGCGCTATATTAATACATCTTGAATGGACAACAGTCCATAAATACCGATACATACTTACCTATAAGATCACATTTGTAGAGGGCTTCGATCGTTTGTTTTGAAGCCCCGTTGGTCCACAGAAAGAGTGTGAATGGAACTGTAAGAAAAATACTGTGATGTGAGCGTTGAGAGGCGAGTTGTGTGATGATGGCATTGCACGCCTTTCAGAAGTCAAGATTCATTAATTCAAAAGACGGAATAATACAAAAGATGTAGTGTATCATACAGTACTGCTGTCTTTGATCCTGTTCCTTTCCATAGCGCATTCCGTCTGAGCAGCACAGCGGAGGATATGCTGTAAGATCGGTGCTTTCAGCGCGACCTTGTCTTGTATAGTAGTGCTGAGGTCCCACGTCAAGAGGAACTGTGGCGTCACGGAATCGAGTGTCCCACGGAGAGCCTCCTTTACTGCGTCCATCTCGTTGCTGACAGTGAGGGAGATGTAAGCAACCGCGTGAGGATGAAACCACTCTAGCATGCGGGCTCGACCCCGTGAGTCCGCAAACAAATGGTCAGACATTTGCTCTAGCTTGCTCGATACACATTGTCCGTCACCAGAGTTCTCTTTCTCCACTTGAGAAGGGTTGTATATCCAGTCGCGGTTGTACATGAAGTCAGGTTGTGATGGGTCGAGAATTCGAAGGATAAAGTCCAGGATCGACATGCGGCCTTCTCTGAGGATCTTGACAACAGATTTGACATGTTCGTGAGGTGAGAGACGCGACGGAGTTGCCACGGCAGCCGCAGGGAGACCTGTTGTAATGTCTATGGAACCAGAGTCAACAGATCGATTGAAGTTCTCATTGAGAACTGTCGAAGAGAAAGGCATCCTTCGAGTAGTAGGTTGAATACGGAAAGCATAATAAATATACAAGAAGTGATGGAACGAGTCTGATATGAACATTAATGTGTAGAACAGCACGCATGTCGATCAAACTTAGCGATACTTGCAAAGGCCTTAGCAAAAGTTCACGTGGCTTTGATATTCCAAAAAAGGTATATACATCACACGTTATCCTGAGAATCCGCTCTTGATCCAAACTTCAACCCAGTTTTACCAGTCCGTCTATCGACGGTTTGCCTCATAGACGGGCTGGTCACCAGTCTAATTTGAACACATGATGTACCACATCACGACGGTGTCCGTTGATGAACACAGCATGCCAACTTGCCCTAAGGCCTAGGCCCTGAGGCTGTGTCAATCAGGTAATGCCGGTCATTACCGTAACCGTGGCTGAGCGCTGAGCACAACCAAACGGGTTACAACTTACGGGTCATTATGAAGGACTTCAACAGACTACTAGTAGTGGGTCGAGAGACCACACATGCATGTTCAACAGTTATCTTGATTCAACATTTGGAACGACCATCCGAGTTGTCCTGGACAAGGGGTGAGTCGTGGATACACAGAATTCTGATTGAGTCTGACGAGAACTAGGCTATGGGACTTCGCGATGTTGAAGATGCCTTCAACCGTTTCATTTTCGATGAAGTGCCTGTCCGCCTGCTATACTTGCCGCAGATGAAGCTCCTCGAGAGAGACTTGTTGAAGCGTCTTTATCAACCTCATATCGACCACATTACAGAAGCCGATCTGGATCACCCAATCGACAGAAGTGCAGCGATCGGAGGGAAGATCAGAGAACAATTGAAATACGGCATCCTTTCGCACCGCTGGCTTTCACTAGAACCAAGCTTTCAAGACTTATGAGCGGCAAAACACTGGATGGGCCAGGCTGGGACAAGTTGAGAGAGTTCTTCCGGGTCGCCAACAAAGTTTATGGAGTGGAGCTCGTCTGGTCAGACACTTGCTGCATTGACAAGACCAGCAGCTCTGACCTGGACGAATATCTCCGGTGTATGTTTAGGTGGTATCGCAATGCACACATCTGCATCGCCTACCTTGCCAAAACGACCTCCATAGATCAATTTCATAACGACGAGTGGTTCACTCGAGGATGGACCTCACAAGAGCTACTCGCTTTTAGGAAAATAAGATTCTTCCGCAAAGATGGGATACCGCTAACAAACTACACAATTGACAGGGATTGCCCTGCTGCCGATCAGCCGATCTTGGACATCATCACCGAAGTCACCGGTATCTCATCACAAGATCTGCAAGCCTTCGTCCCTGGTCCTTTCCAGGTCGACACAAGAATGGTATGGGCAGCAGACAGAAAAACGACAGAAGCGAGGACATAGCTTATTCCCTCATGGGAATTTTCGATGTCAGCATTCCGATCGCATACAGGGAAGGCGCCCAACGGGTGTTTTTCAGGCTCGTTGAAGCAATCATGCAGGTATCAAACGAGCCAGGAGTCCTGAATTGGGCTGGAAGACCCGCACAGATACACAGATTGTCCACTGCATTCCCCTCTGCTCCAGCATGCTACTTAGGACATCCTCACTACGATAGAAGCTTTGCAACAGATGAAAAATGCGAGTTCGCTTTGACAAACAGGGGTTTACGTATACAGCTCCTCGTCATACCGGTTGACCTTGTCACTACATCAATCCCCCAGCGACATCCATCCAAAATCGCGCAACGTTCCATTGCAATTCATTCAAAATAAATGGCTTGACAATTGAAGGCCCTTCTTTTCCTGTCCTTGAGAGGACTGGCACAAATCGGTACACCTACTCTTTGGGTATCATCAACTATGCCATGATCCAAGGGGAAGGCAAGAATCCTGTCCTTCCGAAATCATGCATTGCTTACCTATTGATGCGATTGAAGGGGACGAGGTCATTTGCAAAAATAGTTCTTTCTGTTTGCAACGATTGGAAAAAGGTCGAAACCAAGACGTTCGTCACATTTGATCTTCTACAAGACTATACTGTTGTGAAGCGGAACTCGTTGACGACAATATGGATATGACAATTATATACCGTAATGACAATAGCGACAGCTTGGTAGAACTTACAATGTTAGGAGCGCGGAAACTCCTGAACCGTCCATCCTTGCGTTCATAGTCATACCAGTTGGGCGTGGGTGTGGCATTTAATACAAATGCTAGCTGCTAACATCGAGTGTGCGAAATTTATAGATTGGTCATGGATCATGGCGCGTAAACGTTTGAACTTCCAACCAGCGGACTGTTAATCTTTCGTTAGCCTCAGGGTTTCTCAATGATCTCACATCTCGTTTGTCTATCAACCCTAGCGCAGAAGCTGTTCGTGTTCCGGTGAGAGTGGTGCCAGAGGTGGGAGTTGATGTCGTGGCTATAGGTGGTGGCGTTGGTGCTAGCGTTGGGGACAATCGACATGCATCTGTTGCAACGTGGATTTTACTGGATGTATCGAATAGGGAAGCTTTGGGAGATGCTGTGTTCTGCAAGCGATGAGATGTACCTGTGGAGATAAGTAGCAATGGGAGCACATACAGAGCAGATATTTAACAGTTCTTCGAGATATGGTAGGGGGTGGATCAGTTTATAAAGCACGCGAGAGAACATATACATCTTAAAGCACTTCTCTCCTATTTGGGATCCCGGAGGCAGAGATCAACTATGAGCTTGAAGTGACTTATCCATTTGAGTTTGAAGAGCTTGTATCCGGTCTAGTGAACAACCATTTAATGCATAAACAAGTATGAATGATTTGCATGATGGCATCACATTGTTAGAAGATTCCTCCTCTTAGTCACGGTGGCCCTCAAATGCAATCAAGGTTGAATCCGAGCAAGCACGACATAGAGGCTTTAACCATCAATGAGCGGAATCTTAGCCTAGGAGTATATGGTGGTGCAAACTTTGGAAGAGAATGTGATTCGTTGAGTAGCTACAAAAGTTTCCCCAACATCCACCAATGTTCTGTAGAAAATAAGTGTCTAGGCCGTCTGTCATTCAATATTCCATGCGCAACCAAAAGTTGCCTTATTAGGTTGTGGATTCTGCTAATTTCCGTGGGTTCAAGTGTCGACCCTTCTATAGGTAATCTCCGCTCTCGCTCGGTATTTGCAACTCTAAGTAAGGTATGTCATTCCTAATTATCACTATGGCCTACTCGCTGATCTGACCGTTACATCCTTTCTGTTGAGGCAGGTCAACGCATATCGATGTCTTGCGATCTACTAGCTAGAATGTTTGTCGGCCAGACTATAAGTAAAAACTTGTCTCACAGTGCACTGATCTAGGGAGTGCTCACAAACACCCTCAGCGTCAACAATGTCCTGCACGTGTTCATGATAGTTGCAGGCGCCCAATCAGTTTGCTGTGTATCCGATCACTGCTTATCTTTGTCCGCTCAGAGTCTCATCAGACTCTTCCTAATTTTATACCACCATCGCTTATCTCCATCTGCTCAGAGCCTCATACTCTTCCAAATTCTACTGGCCCTTGTTTTGGATGCAAATATGTGCAGTTTTGACTTCCCCATGTCAGAAGCATCAAATACCTATGGCGTCGAGGATAGGCGCGCCCATAACGACGAGCAGCCTCCCCCGGAACAGGATACCGTTGGACCCACCAAGGATTTAGAGTAAGTTCCAGCTTTCTGGGATGCGTCACTCATATAATAGCAAGACAGGGAGAAGGAAGATTGTGGACCTTCGTCGGTGAAGCTGTCATCAGGCGATGTAAGCACTTTTTGCCCTGATGCTTTTAAGTTACTCAACAAAACATGACAGATTGAACGATGGGCCTTCTCAGTCATCAGAACCTCACAAACAGGAAAGTAATTTCAAATATTCACCAGATGGTGGCTTAGCTTCGTAAGTCCCTATCAATGACGATGTCAAACAACTCAAACATAGAATTATTACAGTGAGGCGGAAAACGTTGCGGTTCAGAAGGACCAGCCAAATCTAAGTGAATTGTGAGCGAAGAATAAGCCAAACGATCGCAGCTGATGACATCCTATGTGGAGCAAGTATTAGATGTCCTCCAGGATTCGGCAATTGTTTTGAAGAGTGTCAAGGACCATCGCTCTTGTTTCTGGGGGGTGTACAAAAGAGTTTAGGTGGAATACGATGCCATGTTCTTCGAGCTATGCAACGGCGACTTGATATCGTGTTGGTCTTCGTACGTTTCGCATGGCCATCTCTGACTCGTTTTGAGATTGATATTTGACTAGTCTGGTCTTTTTTCCGCTGTCAGCACATCTTTTATCGTGGCGATGGAGCCCAATCCCCCAGCGACACTACGAATCTCCTGCTCACACAACTCGAACAAATCGGACTCAGAAACCTCACTGCAGCGGGCTCTGCAGCACCAGCATCTACGTGGCTACCACCCACGTCAATGATATGGATCCAAATCATCGCATATGCAAGCTTGTCCACGAGCTTGCTCGCTGCTTTTGGGACCGTACTAGACAAGCAGTGGCTCAGGTACCACAAGTCGAATAAATATGGCCGTGGCTCGCAGAAGGAGCGAGGAAAGCTCAGACAAGAGAAGTTCGACGGTCTCGTGATGTTTTAATACCAAAACACACATCCAGTGTTGACGAACTCACATTGCGTGGAGTTTTTCAAATAAGTCGCGCAGACTTCTACTTCACTAGCAAAGGAAAATTCGATCCTGCGAACATTTTCAACGGCAGGTTCGCAGATGTCAAATTATCGTGCCATTTGACTGCTACTCGCCACAACGACTTTGGCTTCTCTTCGGATGATTTCCTCACTATTGTCGACAACTTGCGGGCATTTGAGAAAATGATTCGACGAGAACGTGATGCTGAATCTTTAAGGACCATTCATACGGCTTCAGGTGTTGATTCCATCAGACTTGTTCACCATTTATTCACGCCGGTAAGCTACTATTCTCTCACTCTTGTCACCATCTCCATCTCAATATACTCAACACGTCATAACTAGTTGAACTCATCTGAGGGCTCAGATGATCAACTCGACGTTTATCTAGAAGATGATGACACTTCGACCGGTAAACTAAATATCCTTGTCCCAGCCATTAATGTACACTGACAATACCCACTACCTGATACTGCTACAAGTCTTTCTCCAGACTTCAAGATGTCGAACTGGCCAGTTGCAGAACGCTGCAGATCCCAACTCACAGACTTCATAAAAATGCACAATATCGATCCTCTCCCAGCATACGGCCATGACCGCAAACTGATCCAACCAGCTCAATATGAGAGTAAATTACGTGGTGCCGTATTGGAAGTCCACTTCGCATTTTTTCACCATCACATTAGAAGTTCTAAGTGTCACATCTTTCACTCTGTTCTTTGCGAGATGATCGTGTTACGACCGCCGTCAAACATGTCTTCTAGTCCACTGAAACAACGCAAACTTGGTGCTGGCCCTTCATCTGACATGTCTTTCAAAGGAAAGAAACGAGCTCACACAGGTAATCTACGTATGATATGGTAAACAATGTGGGAGGCTCCTATGATGAATGTGAGAATTCCGCCAGACAATCTCCTAGATCCACAACATCTCCAGCATCCACAAGAGACAAAAAATCTATGAAGACTTTGTACAGATCTTTTTTGAGAATGCCGAGATGACTGATAATTGTCTGGATGATCGCCTGAGCTCTACTGCGACTGGATGATTGAATTGCTTTGGGTTGCTTTTTCTGATGGCTCTTTGATGCCGAGCCCTGAGCTACATACTGGCTGGGTGATAAAACCATGATGCAAAGTGCCAACAAAGGTCGGGTGCGCAACTCTGATAACACAGATGGGTCAACGTGAATGCACCACAGGTCTTTTTCTCAAATGTACTTACTAGCAATTTCCTCTTGGGGTAACCTAGGAAGCATGGCGGCCATTCGCCAAAGAGTCTCATCTGTATGTTCATGGTCCTGGTTTGTGAAAAGCATGCCGTTGAGGCGATCTAGGGCTCTAGACACTAGTGTCTCATGAAGCGCATCCCACAGGAAGAAATGACCTCCAAGTGTTAAACTTGGGATTGGGGTGTAAACCATGTGAAACATGCTAGGCGGCTGGATTCTGAAAAGATAGCTGTGAGAAGAAAATATTGGGGTGGACATCTTGGTGGAAACACTTACAACATATCTCCAGGTGCAATAGTCACTGTTTCGGCCTCGAATTTTGTCATATCATGGTCGCCGCATAGAGATATAGCATCCCGAGCCAATTCTTCAAGATTGTCCCCATTCACATGTCGCAAGAGTACCCACATTTTGAGACCGATCTTTCCAGTTACAAATGTGTTTTGGCCTTCTGAGTCATGGTGTGGGGGTGTCACTACTGCGCCTTGGTGTATGAGGCAAAACCTCAGCCCACAGAAGTTATCGGGGTGAACAAATTTGTTCAGCAAGGGACAGTCCTTCGTGGTCCGGTTCCAGGCTGTTTGACCGTCATCTAGTGAACTGAATGCTGATAAGCAGGGATGATGGACTGTGGTGAAACTTACGCCAGATCAGGAGGCAAGCCTTCATATACATTGCAATCCAGGATGCATCGTATCTCATCTGGGTTGTTGATACCCGAGATCAAATCATTCACTGTGCCTTCCACATGAGGACAATGAGATTCTTTGGCACGCAGCTCCATATCTAGCAAATAATGTGTTAGTGTTTCAGTATGAATGCAAGGGTCAGTCAGGACAAGTACCATGCATATCCACCACTGTGGTGGAATATATACCGTAGCGTTTCAGAAAGTCAAAGGTTATGTTGGGGGGGCCAGGCTTTGCTGCAGCGCGAACAACCACAGCCTTTCCATCCCGGAGACTGTTCCGTATTTCTGATAGCAGAACGTCCTCTGGCATGGCTGAGTTTAGATGTGTCACCAATGTAGAACCAGGTTTAGAAGCAGGAAGTGCGGCCATTTTTCTGACAAGTTGCTCATCATTGACCAATACGTTTCGTCCATTGCGTATCAGAGTAGGAAGTACTGTAATGTGACCATCAGCCCACTTCACAGTCTCTGCTTCCCGGGGAACCTGTGTTCCCAGCATACAGGAGGCCAGATCATGTCGTGCATCATCTAGTGGGGCCATTGACTGTTCCAGAACACGCATGGAATCATTAGGTGATGTAGAATTATTGGAAGAACCTGGGGTGAATTGGTGGGAAGAAGAAATTTCTGGTAGAAATCCATGGCCCTCTGACGAGTTTCCCCCTGTAAGTTGTGGCTCTACCTGTTTGCTTGTCTGCCGCAATCTTCGCCTGCTGGCGGCTTGGGCGTCTCTCCGCCTTTTTTTAGCCTCGGGTGAGAGTTTGGCCTCATATCTTTGGTTGTACTCTTTTTTCTTTTCAGGGAGGATACGCGGCATTCTAAGCAATGTGGTGAGCCTGTTGTTGTAGACTCCAGATGCTGCGCAGATAATTTACCCTGCAGCATCAGAAATGAGTTCACATATAAGTTACAATCAGATAAATGTGGGATTCACTCTGAAATATTCAGTGACTATTTTTTTTCTGATTTATACGGCAAAGTCGGAAACAGGGAAATCCTAGGACAGAGGTGGCAACAGAAAAAGGCAACAGAAAAAAAGGCGACAGAAGCTGATACAGAAATTGGGACCAAAGTGGCAACAAAAGAGAAGTGGAGACCGAAATTGGAAAGCGGTGACAGAAACGGCAACTGAATTGGGATAGAAGTGCGGAAAGATATTTCATGCCGATTAGTGTTCTGCGAAAAACTCCCTGCCGAGTTTTGGACATTTTGTAGTGAATTGTGACAAATTGTGTAACCGAGGCCAACTGCGTAGAAGGCTACCTGGTGTTCCGGCCACTAACACTCCAAGCATCGATCAACAATACACCTGGGAACCTGTGGATATCATACACACGAACTTGTCCGATACTCATACACATGGCCCAAGCTGCATTCTCTGCAGATCTCATGTTGTGTTGCTCAAGAGGATCAGCACATTCAGCTCCACACCTGCGACCTAACCCTCCTTTAAATCAGGGCATCTTGAAGCTGGAATCCAGAAACGACGCGTCACTGGCCCCAGGCGCACTTGACCAACATCCTCTGCCCAATGTCTCACGGCGCCCACGGCGCTATGTTGCAGGAGTTGAAATTGACGATGATGACCTGAATTGCCTCCAGAATCCATCTCGTCGGATCACTGGAACTATTATGAATGCTTACGTCCGACTTGTACCTGATAAGGACAGGACATTAACCTCAGCGGGATGTATCGTTCTTAGTTCAGTTGTCCCCAACCTGATGCGCGGCGAAACTTCATGCGGCAACACCCTGGAAAACATTGTCTCAGTGGTAAGTGCATCTGTCAAAGTCAGGATTGTCAAACTTAAAGTCATACCCACACAACGCTCAGACGACCAAAAGTGAGATGCTGGCATCCAGGTGCTGGGCTTTTCCACTGTGTGGAGGGGCTCCCCCTCATTGGGTTTTGGGTTGGGTTGACTGGTCAAGCCATGAAATGGGTGTCTTTGACAGCCTGGGCAATCATCCGCCGCCATGGGCCAAAAAGGTCTGCAGAAATGTTCAATCTATAGTTTGTAGGTCATCAGCTCACGTCACTGTTTGCCTCACAGGATTTGTGTGCTGCTGCTGCTGGCTTGGAGTACTGGTTGAAACACAACAAACGCCCCGACATCAAATCTTTGAAATCTAGATTCGCAGATTGGAGTTTCAAGTACTACAGTCCGCCAGTCAATCAAACACAAACAGATAGCTGGTCTTGTGGTCTTTTTGTGATGATGGCCATGAAAGGACTCTCAGATATAGATTTTTCCCATATACGCCGCGATGGCCTGCAGGCTGTGAAATCATCTGCTCTGAAAGCCATACAGGATGTTAAGTAATTCATTCCGTCTGGGTGTGATCTGCAACTAGTGTGCTCACTTAAGGGTGCCAGGAAGATTCCAGACTCACGGATTACTAAAAAACACCACGCGATATCTGGTAAACAAAACCCGATCACTGCACTACCATTAAGTTTGGTGGAATCTTTATCTCTGTCTAGAGGCACTACAGGACATCTTGGCTCCCAACCCTCCAGGAATCTGGAGGTCCAGAAAATCACAGACATAATTTTTAATGCCAAACGATTGATTATTTTTTGTGGTGCGTCAGAGTCTTAATTTTGAATGCTTGACAACCTCACCCCCACATTCTTTGCATGCTACGTGTGGTTCTCAGGTCCAGGTGTATCTGTACCTCCAGATTTCCCTGGTTCGACTCCAGATGATCAGCTTGGATTACTACGACCAGTTATTTGGCAGGTGCATTTTCCAGGATCAATTTATTACTTTAATGTCTTAGGCATTTTAACCTCTGTAGGATCCAGCACAATCGCAATCAGTATTTCAGATCTGGGTGCATCACCTGAATAAAAAGTCCATTGGAAATAAGTTTTATCAGGCGATACATGCTTTAGACCGACGTGGCCATCTTTTGCGGGTGTACACTCAAAATATTGATGCCATGGAAAAGACTGCAGGCATGTTGTCATATGGAGTTCCAGATACAGATCGCTTAGGCCATCCTGATTGTCCAAGATGTGTTCCATTGTTGGGACGCTTGGATCAGATGACATGCACCCTCTGTCACACTGTGGTGTCATCTTCTGCTTTCCTGGATGAACTCGCCCAGGACGGGTTTCCTGTATGTGTTAGATGCACATCTCACACCACTTCTAGACACCGGGGCATCTGGCGCCCAAATGTTGTTGTCTCTGACCAGAAGCAGCCAACCCTTGAACTGGTCCTTTCTGAAGATGAGAAACTGGTAGACGTCTTGTTGGCTGTAGGTGTCTGGCAAGACACTCATGACAACCTCAGCGGCTTTATCGCTCAGTTGTCCCAAGCAGTCCAGTCCAGAGCCAGGGATAGAAAACTTACATCAATTCTGATCAACTCAGAAGCCCCTGCTCCAGAAAGGCCAGAAATGCTGGGCCTATTTCAGGTTTGCCTGGAATTGGATCTCCAGAATTTTTTTGCCAGTATAGTGGAGGTGGCTTATCAGGAGGCTGTCGTTGACTCCAATAGCAACACAATGCTGATCTCAAGGTATGCAAATGAAGATGAAGATTGCCCAGAGCGAGAATTATTTCTGTCATTACCACCCTGGCATTTTCCCTCCCCATAAGCAGGTGGACACACCAAGATTAGTAATGTTCTGAAGGTGAGGGATTTGTCCTCCGTTGAAGCCAGGCAGACACTGATTGTTTTTATCACAGTATATACGCCAATGTATGGTAGTGAATTAATCCCAGTTGTGGGATTTGTTTGGCAGTTCAGATTTGTAAGCCCATAGGCCCACTAGCCAGAAGCAGCATCTCAAACCCCCGCATCCACAAGTCTGAAATTTGCTCACAAACGTGAAATTGCAAGATGTATTCTGACAGTCTTGTTTAGCATATTAATGTTGCATTTCGCCCGCGAACACTTAACACAAAAGTCCTCACTTTGGTACATAGCGTCAAGTTTCACTCTGGAGTTTGAGGTGTATACCGTTAGGCTATATATCTGTTGTGCTTGTATGGGAGCATTGCTATAATGTATAGTGGCTTATATATATTATGTTTGCCCGCCTCACGAACTGATGAAAGCTCTCATGTACACGCACACACTTGCCGAGTGTACCAAGAACAATATCGCGCAGTCGTTTCTGGGCTGTCTCGTGACCAAAATGGAGTGTAGTTTGTCGAAAAATGGCTGGTGATGGTGTAAAAGTTGTAGGAATTTTGGATGTTGACCGGATCTTGGACGTCGTCATAGCACAGGCGAATGATGATATTAGTGTCGACGGCGTGCAAGAACCTCTTAAAAGAGCGTGTATCATTTCGGACTGTATTTGCGGAGATATTTCAGCTTCATATTGAGGGAGTCTAGACGGTGCCATGCATTGAATTTTCGCAAAAGAAGCTTCGTCATAAGAAACTTTGCATTTGCTATTGATCACTGAGTTTAGCTCATGAGGTTATGGAAAGTAAACATACGCGAAAGTCTGTCATATCTCTGGAAGTGATCAAGTTCTGGAAGGTCAGATAAATGTGCCTCGGTCTCTATCAAAGTCCCGAGCATATCTTAGTATGCGTGTATTTACCATGCTTGAAAATGAAATCTTGATACATGACACACCTTGAAAAAGTCGGACATATACATTGATCTTCTTGTCAGATGCGTCTCCTGTCTCCCGATCGTGGTTCAAGTTGCAGAGCTCTCCCAGGTGCTCACCTTCACGTATTTTGGTTTCGTAGGAGTATTCGCCTTCGATTTCGCCCCCAGAGAATATGAGTGTACTAACTGAGTCCGCTTTTGGTGAACTTGGGCTCATTGTCGGGCTGAAACATTGATGCATGATTGAGGCGGGTTTGCCTCATAGACGGGCTGGTCACCAGTCTATGTTCAAATCTACAGTTGCCTCATAGACGGACTGGTCACGAGTCTGACCATGTGTCCGATTCAAGTATTTTTGGCCCACCAAGCGCTAGTGTTCCTTTCCCCCCATAACTGGCCCGGTGCTACACAGCGGCTGCTGTAGTTTCAGTTCGTATCATCAGTGAACGGATGAACATATTAAAATATCATATTAGACCATATATTGATAACAATTACAGCAATGACCGCAATCATGGCAGTGGGTATTACACATGCATATTTGACCTTACGTGGGAACGATGCATGTACCAAGATTCAACACGTCACAGTCACATGGAGGTGTCGAATTGAATGAAATGGTACAGTCATATTGTGACTGTCACCCACAGGTCTGAAAGGGTTTGCAGACTTCTCACATTGTACGTACGTCCAATATCACAACTTGCACCTTGGCAGATCGTAAGCATTTGATTTTGTATGTAGTGTCAGGCTGAAATGCAGACTAGCATGTCCATAGATCTTACATAATGATAAAAACAATTCTGGTCGTACCGGACCCAGGGCGGAAGAAGACTTGGCTGCAACTGCAAGAACATACCTATACCGATTGGGTCCTGACCTCTCTACCTCACCAGGAGGTTGAGTACCTATTGGGTATCACGGACCTTGATGGTCTGATCTTTGTGGCTACATCCCAGCGGCTGAGTAGCAAAGAGGTTCCTAAAGGACACAGGGTGGTGCATATCAATGAAGTGGTAAGCTGTAGCAGTATTCATGACAGGCATTGTGAGCCTGACCTAAATTCTAATCTGTAGTTGTTGATGTGGCACACGATTGATACATCGACTAAGAACTGCCTGCAGGCACGCTACATGAATTTCAGAACTTTCAGTGAAATCATCTTTATGAGCCTGGATAGGCTCCAGAAAGCAATGGCCAACTTCGCCGCTGTATGGGGAGGTTTGGATTTGACCAAAAATCACAGGTGAATCCATCACTTATAACGGAACAGGACCGGCTGACCTCAGACCATGGTGGAAGACAGAGAGGGTCCGGTTTCTTTCCGCCGTTCTAATTCTTCTAGGATTTTGGCGTATTCAGGTTTACGGTGCACATTTGAAAAATACATGTGGGCATTGCACAGGTTGGAAGACGTGCTTCCAGTGTGGCCTGGCACCTTAGAGTGCCGGGCTGCATCCCATGATCGCAATGCCATTAGCTTGTTGGATTCCATAGCCCGGGACGTCACCAAATCTCATCGCCCCACTACACAGCTAATCAATCCAGAATCAAAGCCTGCTGCACGTGCTTGTCAACATGTGGTTGTGAAACGTGAAGCCAGCGCCTCAAGTCAGCACATCAAATATCCCTGGAATGAAGAGATGCCCGCTGACCAGGAGGGATATCAACTGTTGATGCAACCATATGTCCCAGAATGGGACCAGGTAGGCCAGTGGCGTTGTCTCTTGATCGACAGAGCCCTATTCTGTATCTTTATTCATCCTGGATCTTACACGTTGTCCCAACATCATTCATGTGTCTCAGCGCATAGCCTGAGAGAGGACGGTTGGAGTTTGGAGGAATTGGGCCTGTAGGAGTTCGCGTCAAAAATCATTGTTTGTTGCATTGACATCATTGTTCAGGATCAGGGAAAGCAACCCAGATCAATGTCATTTCATGATTCGCGAAGGCGGCACACGGGCGGAAGTTTTCAAGGCTCATGCAGAAATACAGCAGTTCTTGGTGCTTACGCTGGAAGCCTTCATTGCTGGAGAAGAAACAAGGTTATTTCGATATGGCATCAAGGACAGGTTGCGGCAGTCATCCTTGAGAGTTTCTGCACGGCTAGATCTCTCAGTCATTACAAATCCTGAAAGCCGGAAGCTCCAGTACTTCGTAACTGGTATCTCGCGAGGCCCAGGTATGATGCTGTATGGCTCGGTCGACGCCAACACCATCCACAGATATGCACTAGAGTTTGCGCGTCCTTTCGAATGCTGGATTGGTCCACGCGATCCACGACCCCAGACCATGATATTGAACTGAGTACATAGGGTACATCGTCTACTTTATTTTCTATTTTACCTTTTTGCACCTCTATGGAGAACATCGCAATGCCCTGCATTCCAGGCATGTGTATTATAATATTTCGTCTGCATCGTCATCTAGACGTTCTTCCGTGTCCATAGTCACAAAACTGCAAGGCAATTCTTTCTCTCGATAATTGTAAGCTTTATTGGAACAGTCGTGGAAGTATTGAATATTTGTAAGGATTCGGGCAATGGTTTCTGGTGCGTGCACGACAACGTCGTTGAAGGTGGTCGAGAACGAATCGGAGGGGTTTTTGATTTCTATGATATTGTGCCATGGTTTGAGAAGAGCGAGCATTGAAGCACAATATAGTTCGTAGCGCTCAATGTCGTTTGCTCGAGGAAACCATTGACCTGGAACATGTGGCATTGTCTCATGTCCTTCAGCCTGCTCGAAAGACATGAATATGGCCAATATCTTCTTTGTATGGGACATGTATTTATACTTGTTCCATCTTTTTTTGTGTATTGAAAAAGGATCCACGTTTCAGCGCATATTATCTGTAATTACGACGTCACACTATTGTAGGTATTTAGGAAGAATTAGAGATAGCTGAATTTTTCTAGTTCATCCCCTCGGTCAATATGATCATGAATTTGATCCCTGATGCAGAGAATTCCTCCATGCAGTTCAGGCCAAGAGAGAGATGGTCATCTGAGAAGCGTGACCGCATGTTGAAGAGTGAAATAATTCTAAACCCTGTCTGCATATAATAGACTGGCCACAACAGAACACCTAAGTGTGTGTTCTGGTAGATGTATCTAGACAAGCCCTCCACAAACCACCATCGTATGGAACGCTAAAGTGGTTTGGAAACCTCAAAACAAAATTCTGTATCTGTGAATCTAGGCCACTATGAGTCCCAAAGTCTACCTGAACAATAATCTCTTGCAAAAATTGCTCAGGATCTGAGTCTGCCAAATCTCCCACTTCAGATTGGGCAGGAACCTGACAGCCGGTGTGTATGTGGGCCAATGGGGGGATCATCAAGCCCCATGAAGGATTAATGGGTAATGGCACTTGCATGGGGGTGGGTTCAGCAGTCTTCAGTTGCTGAGTGGCTGTGTCGTAAAATTGACCAGCATGGGGGGCATGATTGAACTTCCATCTCTCTCGGATACAGACATCTGAGGAGTTCAGGGTGAGGTGTGCTGGGTTTAGGGTGACATTGGGTCTAAATCTATGATAGATGCGAAGATATGACCGAGCCACACCCACATCTACTACGCGTTCCTCGAAATAAAATAACTGGAAACAACGGCGTGCTGCCTTGCCAGAGATGGATCTGGGTATCCAACCTTGGAAGTCCAACACCTGGTGTATCAAGGGAGGCAGTTCTTGGGCCATCACGGCCAAGCCCCTTTGACCTGGCAACATTGGCTGGAAAAAGCAATCAAAATTCGTGGGTGGGATTGAGAATGCTTCCTGGTAATTATCCAGAGATAGCAAGTAGGAGGGGGATAGATGATAGAAGGCGCCATCAGCGGCCGCAGATAAGGTCCAAGGATAGTAAACCGGAATGTTGTATTGCAGGTACAGCCCGATGTTCATTTCTCTTTTATCCCGCGTCAGGTCCAAAATGACACCCAATCCTCCTGGCTGGTCTAATCTCCAAGCCTGCATAAGCTCCACATCCTGGGATGTCAAGTATCTAGCCATATCATCCGGACGATGAGCTTTCAGCCAACGGATATAACCGCTGGCAGAAAGCATGAATCTACATGCATGGTCTCTTGAATGAGGGAGGCTGAGATTAATATTGTCAATGCCATATGCATTATCAGGTCTTGGGCCCTCAGGTCGGATATGACGATATACAACACCCAGGATTTTGACCATGCCCAAAAGGTCTTCTTTGGCTCTGGCTTCATCATCCAGGGGTAAAAATGTGCTGTCAGGCATGATTTGGTGCCACCACAATCCATCCTGTTTGTGTGGTACCCATGGATGCCAATGTTTCTTCTGGGCATACCAGTCGGGATACTGAAGGCTGTCAAACGGCACAACTGGGTTTTCAGCTCTGGGACCAGTCCAACGTTCTAGTGCATTGAAGTCCAGCCTGTCCAGTGAGGCATTGGGTGAAACCCACATCAAACCGGAGAAAACGCGAGAATCTGGATGACTGGGTGCTATGTTCAGCTGAGTTTGCATTGGAGTCCTGGGTGTGGTGCGATCTATGGTAGGTATCCGTTTATACCGGGTTTCAAGTTGGCCCTGGGAACTTTGACGACTCCTAATTAATATTTTGTGACACTAGTACTCGAGCTCATTCCGTCATCCGATGCCCTGAAAAATGTTCCCAACATAGTATTAGTATGATTTCATAATATCATGAGCATCAGGTGCAATGTAGTGCAACCAACAGCTGAAACAATCCATAGCCCTGTTACATGATAATGCGGTCAATCAACCGTTGTTAATTATTATTCAATTTTAAGCGCCTCAATTCTGTTGCCATTCTGTTGCCCTCAACTTTTCCCATTATGATAAGCCCTCTAGGAGGTTTTTAAAATTTTCTTGGACTGTGTATAGTGGCGTTACCCAAGTCTGTTTCCATGTTAGTGCCGCAGGGGCAAAACTAGCTGGTGAAGTTGATGGGGGAGAAATGAGAGTTATAGCGGAACATTTTTGTGTTGGAGAATACTTTGGTTCTGTGTCACCGAGATATTTGAGTGATCCATCTAAGTTGACCACACACCGGTCATCTGTGCTCGATTTAACAACAGTATTCAGCACTCCGGAGTGACTATCCCTAGGTGCAACAACCATATTATACCTGTACAGTCACAGTACCTGCTACCAGACATCAGTCTACTTGTTTAAAGATCTATAGAGGTGTAATCATATTTATCTGTGCATATTTCATGGGTCAAGCCACCACATGATAGCAGTTGAACCAGATAATAAAGTTTGCATGTGTATGACATGTGACTATTGAAACTACATCTCTGGGTCCACTAGGCGTCCCATAGTTATGCAGGTGTCAGTCATCCACCTGGAGAACATGCATGCAAATTCATCGGCCAGCCGTAAGGTCCATCTTGGATTTCCGGTGCTGAATAGCCCGATACCTACACCACGTTCCACCTCGTTGATGAAATACCCTAATTTGCCATTGGGACCATGCATGACACTGACATCCACTCTGGCCATTAGCCTCAAGGAGCTGGATGTACCCAGAAACTCTTCCTCAATGCATACAAGTTGACTTAATGCGGCTGTCACAAAGGACTCCAGTTCTAGATCAGCTAGGTGTCGTTCAGCAAGTGTGCCCCCTACTGGATCCATGATATCATCAAAGACATACGGTTCCCTCATAAGCAGGCTGTGCCAATCCCCAGGTTAAGATTTGTTAGATGATGATGGATGGTCGGTTGAAGCACTCACCTCATTTCCGCCAGGGACAGACCGGCATCCCGATGCAAGAAGACCCACTCCTGCTCTCTATTTCCAGGAGCTGTGTGTATAACATACAATGGCTTGCAGTCTACCAAGATCATCCGCCACTCTCCAAGCTGTTGAAGGGTAGGTACATATGACTGTTTTAACCACCTGAAGTGACCAAGGTCAGGGGGCAGATTCAGTGGATCCACCCTGTCCGGTAACAAAACATGACGTGTGCAGTCACTGCCTTCACGCTTTAGAATGAAGCCTTCAAAGGATTGCGACACGTTGGTATGGGAAAGGATTGTGGTCAGGGGTCTGGGGGAGTTGATCATCCTAGTAGCAATTTGGTCCAGGTCCATGATTACATTGAATTTTCTTGAGGCACGTAGCACCTCCCTGGATGGGGGCCATACTGGCATGATGGACTCCAGTATCTGCAGCCCACGTAGGTATTGCTGCAGCTGGATTGGGCTGTCCATTCCACTGGCTCGCTCACTTCTTCCGACTGTCAACATGTGATTTAAGGAACCAGACGCTGGTCACCTGCCTTGGATCTACCATGAGGTCTATGCCGCCCCATATGGAGTGATATCGCCGAAATCTTTGCCTGAAGTCGGAGTTTGTTGAGATTAATATATCATGAAAATCTTCAAACTTCATGAACTCCACATCCATTCCTCTGTGTTGGATTCTAAGCCACAATAGTAACTTATTGGTTCCAGGGATCAGTCCGGAATCATCAACAGCGTTAAACATCCGAACCTTTTCTTGAAGCCGGACTGGAACAAAGCCTGGTCGCTGTGAAATCAATTGGCTAGTTTTTCCACGGAAGACAAATCCATGAAGTGTAGGATTGCGCAGGAGGTCGGCAGCCAACAAGGCGGGATAATCGTGGGTCACCCAGTCCATGCACCCATAAGAATCCTGTACAGAAGCACGGGAGAACTGAGGATCCAACACAACTAACACCCGGCAAGACATTATACTAGGGCCTGAGACCAGGATGTACTTGACAAATATGGTATTGTCAGGTATTGCTCTGGGATTAAGAGACTGGACCAAGGTGTCAGCAATATAAATTCAAGCCACAATCAATTTCAGACCAGTTGCAGTGGCGCCGACTTGGCCGCTTAATGTTATGTCAACTATGGTTGACTATGTGTGTGTATATAGGGATTGTTTCTCTTACAGTACTTATGAAGGGCCGCTCTGGACAAAAATTCGAGAATTGAATTGCGTGAGAAAGATTCCGAGTTCCAAGCTCTCAAGAACCAAAAGCAACAAAATTGATGTAAAATTACTCAGTCAGGTTTTTACCGAGCATTCTAGCCAGTCCAAAATTCTACTTTGACTCCCACTAAGTAACTATTCAGGCCTCAGGCTCTGCCTAGCGACAAGCAAGGTTTTTAGCTGACACAGGCGGCATTTCACGAGTCTTCCCTGAGGCAAAATTCTCAAACTGCTGGTGTATGTTACCATTACACTTTTCGGTATACTATGTGCGTGCGCATCAATATTCAAACTGATCATCCTGTATTTTGTACTGATGACGAAGCAAATAACATGACAACATCGTCCAAGTCCTTGCCCAGTTGTGCTCCCCATCCCTCCATTCTCGACAGTCCTTAGGTAGCTTGATTTGGCGAAATAGCATGGCAGACAGCGTGGAAAAGTGTAGAGTGGCCTTGCTGAGTTGTCCCCCTGGTCATTATTGTCATCACATCTGTCTCGTCTGGGCCACCTTTGCCGAAGAGACGAACTACGACTCCGTATTGGTTGCCTGTCAAACTGCATTGAAATTCCTAGATCAGCATGTGACTCTGTTATCACCTTCTTTACGCCATTTCGATATCGTCAGGATGGCTACTTCCTCGGTTGCCACAGATGCTTTCTCGTGCAGTGTTTGTCGCGGCGCACTGACAGCTGCTGTCGAACTGGTGGAGCAAGGCCGTGCAGTATTTTGGACCCGGCTGACATGCTTACGCTTACCACTCAACGAACTTTCACTGTCTAGTGACACGGGCGCAGCCCTGGCGAAAGAGTTACAGCAGCTAAGTTTTCGCCTTTGCAGCGCATTCGATAAATCCACCGAAGACCAGTCCCTAGACATCCAGCAGCTGACCATGCAATGGGATGATGTCGTCTCCCGCATCCGCATGATGTCTGCCCTTTCTCGGTTTCTCCTACCCCCGCTGTTTTCTGACCTGCGGAAAGCTGCAGAAGAAGGACCGGTCATCATCGTCAATGCCAGTCAGTACGGCTGTGATATAGACGAAAATGAGAAAATTGTAATACTGCGTGGCTTTGTTTGGCACTGCCGACATAAGCAAAGAAAAGCGAACTTGAACCAAATCTTTTCTCTGTCTGTTCTCTTCTTTTACTATCACTTACTTGACAAAGTTCTTCTTTTCTTTGATTTGTGTCTAGAATATTATATTTATTCTTCTTGTCCAGTATCACCATGTCTCTATGAGGCTGGTTGGACATCCCTGTGTTGGTGTCTCTATGAGGCCTGGCCTGGGACCTTGGATGTGGTCTTCTTCTTCCCTTTCTTGTCCAGTATAACTATGTCTCTATGAGGCTGGTTGGGCTCCTCCTGGGATGGCGCCTCTATGAGGCCTGTCCTGGGGTATTGTTGGCTTGACTGTGTCTCCCTGTCCACTGAACTGCGCCTCTATGAGGCTGGTTGGACTCCTCCTGGGATGGTGCCTCTATGAGGCCTGTCCTGGGGTATTGTTAGTTTGGCTCTGTCTCCCTGTCCACTGTACTGCGCCTCTATGAGGCCTTTTCTGGGGTATGTTGAATGTGATATATCTAATGTTGGGTATAGTGGGGCGGCCTGGAGTATCTCATGTTGGACAATATGGGCAGATATTGGGTATATGGATAGGTGTTTGAACTAGAGTTTTGGATCTGACACTCCCTTGGGCAATAGCACTGTCAGATAGCATGGTCCCCACAGGTTGGCAATCATGTGAGTCTTAGGTGGGGTAGCCTGTAGTATCTCTCATTGGAACAGATGTTCAAACTGGGGTTTTGGATCTGACACTCCCTTGGGTGATAGCACTGTCAGATAATCATGGTCACCATAGGTTGGTGATCATGTGAATATTAGGTGGGGTAGCTTGGAGTATCTGGCATTTGGCAAGATGTTTAAACTAGGGTTTTGGATGTGGCACTCCCTTAGACCATAACAATGTCCCTGATGCCCACATTAGTGGAAGAGGTCTTCGTCAAACACAAATCACCCTTTCAACACTACTTTTCAGAGACATTCAACAGATCATAAATAATAATCATGATATTTGAACGTGTTTTCCCATCTATCAAGCGGTCAAGTCGATCCAGTCAATCAGCACGGTCACTAGCGCGTACTTGACTATAACATCTGTATTATTCGAACGCAAATATTTTGGATGCTCCGCAGATATGATCAAACTGAGTGTTGCAGGCCCCAAAGCGCATTCAGGATTTGGGGCGTGTTATCACTGATGTCACCATAGGTTGAAAATTGTCATGTGAATCTTAGGTGGCATAGCCTGGAGTCTCTGATATTGGGCAATGTGATTCACTTCATGGAGGTCTTCTTTTTAACGCTCAGCGCTCACAGAATTTGAGCGCAAAACATCATGTAGATTACAGAAGTCACGGCCTATATTTGTCTGTTGCCATATTTGTGGTTGTTCTGTCGCTAATTATGTGCCAATTCCTGTCAGTGTTTTTGTCCCAATTATTGCTACTGTCTCTGGCAACGTGTCCCAATTCTGTTACTGTTACTGTCACCGTTTCTGTCAACCTGTCCCAATTCTGTTACTGTTTCTGTCTGAATTTCTGTTTCCACTTCTGTCACCTTTTTCTGGTACCACCTTGAGTCCCTGATTCCAATTTTCTAATTTCCTGGTAACTTGTCAGTGGCAATGCGATGATTTCGAATGTTCAAAAATAGGATACTCACGGCCAGCCCTTGATAGGATGGAGCACGAGGGCGGCACATAAAACAGCATAATTCAGTTTTATGAGCAGATTGGTAATATTGGGTATATGGATGGATATTTCAACTATGGCTTTAGATAAGATACTCTATTAGGTGATAACACTGCTGCAGATAACATGTTCCCCACAGGTTGGCGACTATGTGATTCTCCAGTGGGGTAGCCTGGAGTGTCTAATATTGAGCTTCTTCTAACTGAAATTTCCAAGACTCACATGTGACTGTGTCTTGCCCCAATTTTCCCAAAGTTCTCGCTCGCCGTTTGCACGGGTTGTCCTTTCGACGTTCTCTGGGACTTTCACATTTTTATGGAGCTTGATGAAGACCAGGTAGTCTGTTGTCGGACGAGGTGGTGGAGTCGGATGGGCAGTAGTCAGCGTGCAGTAAGAGGTTAATTTATCTACTCATGCTGCATCCCAACACGCGAGAAATTTTTTGAATCCATGACAGTGTATTCACTGATCGTATGTAAAGATGTACATGAAGCCCATCAGAACGATCGTGTACGAAAAGGCACGAAGTTCATGAAAGTTAGAAGACGCGGGCAGTCCATCCATCCATCGTCCCTCGATCACTCATAACCTCTCGATGAAGGCAAATTCGTCGCCATGCAATCGTACCTGCCATTGGAGGGTGCATACATTGTGTGCGTCGCGTTCACAACGCCAGAGTTGTATGTCATAGAACCAAGATGCTGGCACCATGCTAAGATGTCGTGGTTTGAGCATGATGTCGAGCTGGAGTGGGATGAGGGAGAAAGCGACTGTGTACCAGATGTACAAGACATTTTTATGTAAGCTTCTGTGCACCCTGGGAGAACAGAGCGGGCGTAACATGTTTGGGAGATAGTGGTTTGACGAAGGGTGAGTAGGTGGAAGATACCAGTTAGGAAACGAGCATACCCATTTCTTGAGATCTACTTGTTTGAGGGTGATGGTATTGATGGTGAGAGCGACGAAGTCATTGTAGGTTGTGAGTTCACGGAAGCGGCGTGACGCGTGAAGTAATCGATGACATAGGCCATGATACACTGGAAAGATGCCTATCCATATATGAGGACGGCTCTTTTTCCATCCTACTCTACAGAGATATAGCTTGCTCCCGCTCCAATCTGTTTGTCTCCCGGGTCAAAAATGCTGGAGCTATGCCCCAAATGTCGCTCTAGGTGGCTTAGGGGGGGGGGGAGGTAATCCACCCATAACTTTTTTCCTCGCACTTTCTGACCTCAAAATTTTGTCATTCTATTATATAGGTCTATAACTCGCTCCCGCTCCACTCAGTTTGTCTCCCGGGTCAACATCGCTGGAGCTATGCCCGGAAACTTCACTCTAGGTGGCTTAAGGGGGAAAAGAGGTAATCCACCCATATCTTTTTTTTCCATCACACCGGCTGACCTCAATTTTTATGATCTTACTATACAGATATACCGCTCGCTCCCGCGCTACTCCGCTCATCTCCCGGGTCAAAATTGCTCGAGCTAGGCCCCAAACTTCACTCTGGGTGGCTTACAGGGGGAGGAGGAGGAAACTCCCCCATATTTTTTTCCAGCTCACCAGCTGACCTCTATCTTCTACCATCCTACTCTACAGTCTCACAGCTCGCTCCCACTCTACTTCGTTCATCTCCCGGCTCAAAACTCAGCTGTGCATCTGCATTACATTCAGCCTCGGTCTTTAGTGTTAGGTTAGTTAATTGCTTAGGACTGCATATATTCTGCCCCGGTCGTCATGCATTTTCCCTTAGCACGAGCAATTCGTCCACCCACATACCTCCCTTTCTCTATTGATACATGGGAGCAACTCAGTCTCGCACAACATCGACATTACATCTCCTGACATTGCTAGTGTTCTCGCCAACCTTGCCGCTAGCGACGTAAACTTCTAGCCATCCGTTGTGCATTGATCTGTAAGTCCACGTTCATCATTCGTCATCGGCACAAGTTCTCATATGATGTCTAGCCCATACAAATCCCACCGACCCTCGAATACTCGGATATCCCCACGCACAACTACGACTACTCCCGTGTTCTCCGCTCGTGCGTCGTCAGCTACATTTATATTCTTCTTAGTATTGCCGGCCCACTCAACATCGACGGTGAGCTTGTCCATATCCCCATGGCTACTGTTGGGGGTACACTCGTTGCCTCTACTGAAACTGTCCTTACCAAGGGCGCCGTGATACGTGGACCTGCCATCGACTTCCCTTCCATCGTCATGGCTGCAGGAGTTACTGAGAGTGAGAGCCACTTAGATTGGGGATTGAGGGAAGAAGCTAGGCGCTAAAAGGCTGCGTGCCATGAGCATTGGGGTTGGAGACAGAGAAGGTGTGGGGAATTGTGACAGTTATTCTGGTTATCAACTAGCGCTTGGAGTTCCGTCCCTGTAAGAGGAGTTATAATATGAAGGGGGATGTAGAGATCGTTTCCAGAGACGAGGAAAATCAATTGCCGTTGCACATGTCTCCGAAATAAAGAAACTCTCTGCAGAAGGATCTCAGTTTGCGAAGGTCAGTGTGATAGCGACACGTCGATAAAGTTAATTGTCGATCTTCTTAACGTGGGCACAAGGGGATGGCAGGGTGGATGTCATATTCGATTGATGTAAGGGCACGCTACCGCAGACCTAAATTACATGTAAACAAAGGTGCCATAAGGCTTTCAAGAGTGAGGCTGCGGTAGGACTCAAGAAGTTGGCTGTATGCCAAGATGCGCATCTCTCGTACATAGTATGAGGCGAGAGGAGTCGCTAGGGCAGGAGATACGTCTGCTCGAGGGTCACTATGGGCATGGACATGTTGGTCATTATCAATCACATCAGACAAAGAGGGGCCTCGGAAGTAGATTGTGGGCGCGAAGAAACGTACCAAAGTCATAAAGGTTGTTTGAGAGGTCTCCAAGGATCAGGATTTCAGGCAAAACGGACATAACTTCTGGTGCGGTAATGTGCTACAGGAAATATGATCAGCAGTGGGAGATACCAGTTGGAAAAACGAGCATACCCGTTTCTTGAGATCTACTCATTTGAGGGTGAGGGAATGATGGTGAGAGCGACGAAGTTGTTGTAGGTTGTGAGTTCAGTGGCAGTGAATGTCGATAGTGCATCAAGAAGAGGTGCACTACCAGTCATAAACTGGAGGATGGCTAATTCGAGCAACGCGGAATGAGGTGTAAGAGCACCCGCAGAAGTTACTAACTTATAATACGGCACCAATTCTGCATACACCACTGATCTGGTCAATGCAAGTCAAGTTCCAAGATGATCTAATTACATACCGTATACCATAATTCCTTCGAGCAACTGTTTTCTTGCATTGTCGTGAAGTTACTGGAGAGTTGGGGTAATACGAGTAAACAAGTGCTGCGGGAGGCCAAGATTTGGTTTGGAGACCCGCCGAGTTTCGGCGTGAAACACTAAGACGATTCGGACTAGAAGTAACGAATCAAGATCAAAGAGCGATGGTGTAGTAGCTAGGTGCTGCGCGAGGCTGAGCTTTGGTTTGGAGACACGCCGAGTTTCAGCGTGAAACACTAAGTCGGTTCGGATGAGCAATGGACGGTGCTACACTGCTAGTAGTAGCAAAAGGAAAACTGAACAGTCACGTGGTTCGATTTTGTAAGCAACAGAGTATGGCGAAGTATGAAGTGTCTCTGAGGTGTCTCTGAAGTATATGGCCTCTCTGAAGTATGGCTAGCCGCTACAGCACCCTCAGTTCAATGACCAAGATTCAATCCTTCGTCATGTGATTTCCATCACTTCATCGTGATGTACTCCGCTGCGCGATTCAGATTCCAATGAATCCAATCCTTTGCACTTCAAATTCCAATCGTTGGTTAGCTGTCCTGCAGATGTTCCGCTTGAATTGGTGCGTGCACAATCTCCTTATGTGATTTCCGTTGTGTTGATATGATCTACTCCAACAGTTCGAGACAGCTGTGTCGCAATTGATTTATTACCCAGAGTACAATTCGACACTGATCTTGCGCTCAGAGATTAGCCTACGGTATCACATCTTGCTTTCTGATTCATCCCTTCCAACCTCACCACGATCTCAGATTCAACCTTTGCACAACCGGCACTGCGCATTGAAGTTACTCCGCTCCCAGGCACGCCTACCGACCTCAACAGTCCTCTCTACTGCACGGCACTTGCACTCCTTGACACACTCCACCGTTATTTATGGGGAGCACTCACCCATTACCAGAAATGCGTACAGCATGACATCCTTATACAGAATCCAAACGCGAGGCAAAGCTCAAGGAAACACTCTCAGTCTGCAGCGCATCTTCCAGCGCTTTACGACACCCTTCTCCAGCAGAACCTCCTACGCATCGTTGAGCCGTACTCGGTAGTAGAAATTGAGTACGTTGCCAAGCTTGAGGAGTACATCGAAAAGTGAGTGGCGATGTCTCTTCCGTTAGGATATGCTCATGTGGCTAATTTTGACGTTCAGGATCCACTATTCTGATCCCTACTCCCTACAACTATCCGCCGCCGTCCCACGTCGCTCTATGGTTCACCTTTCTCGTCTTTTCCTTCCCCAAGAAGCTCTTTCCTGAGCTCAAAAAGGTTCGCGTGACTGTGTAACAGACCCAGAGGTATCTGACTGGAATTTCAGGCTCAAACCTCACACTCAAAACACTCCTCGCAAATCGCAAAACTCCAATGTGTGATCGACTCAGCTGAAGGCGGTGTTTTGGCCTCATTTTGCCCCCAGATCGACATCAAGAATGTTTGGGAGTTTGAGGAGCGTCAGTTGAAAGTCACCGAGGAGGAGAGTCAGGCGCGACTTAGATTTGATCAGCAGGTTGCGAGGCTGACGCGCCAGTGAGTTTTCTTTTTCGCGGTTTTGAGGGTGAGGGACGGACTAACATGTGTGTGCAGATCTCAGTTTGAAGAGGAGCAATTGAAGCTGACACTTTCCTTCTCGCGGATGCGCACCTCCCCCACAAATTCCCCATGCAACCCGACCACCCCGTATCCCTATATGCCTTTGGCACCACCTCACCCTCTAATGTCTCGCCATGCACCACGTCCTCCACCTATGCCCATTCCGCAATTCGTTTCAAAGCCTTCCAATATTCAACCGTCATCCAGGAACAATCACAATTCCAGGAACAATCACAATCACAATCACACTCAAGTTCAGTCCCACAGACACGGGAATCACCAACATTCCCATTCGACATCTGCCGTGCCTCAGACCATTCGGCGCACCACCTCGCAGCAGCTTCGTTTCGCGCCACCCACCCAGCTTTCAAACCATTCATTTCACCGCACAAGCAGTTCACAAAACCTGCACTTTCTGAATCAGCCTCCGACCCATTCACTTCAACGCGCACCCAGTTCGCAAAACCTCCACCACTCACATTCTTCACAACATCTTTGTTCGCAAACACGTCACGCAGGTCCCTCTGGTAATGGTCACCAACCGCGCGAAAACTCGGGAAGCAGCACGCACAGGCCCGTCATCATTGCTCAACACCAGGTCCAGCCCCGTATCCACCAACACGTCGTGCACCATAACGGTCACAATCATTTCCAATATTCAAAGTGCTCCGGGCGGAAGAAAGCGCTCTGCGTGAGTAAAGACACCACACTAATGGATCTCAGTCACAGATATTGACCCCGTCATGATTAAACCAGGCACCCCTGGGCCTCAAATCTCACCAGTTTCCTTAAATAGCGTCAAGCTTCCATCTGTTCCGGGGGGGGATTATGGCCGCCGAGTCCAATACTGTCTCCCGGAGAATTGACTGTCCCAACGCAATCGAATTCTTCTACGGTGGGCATTGTGTTGTCTCTAGGATTACTACTTCTTTGAAGAGTATGCACCTTCGAATTCTGCTGCAAATTCCTACTAACGACACCCACAAACACATTTACAGGTTCCAGGTCTTTATCCTTGCTATCCTCGCCACGCGTATGCATCTCCATCTCTGAAATATTGACTGGGACGTACATGGCGGTTCTGACGCCTCGTGATTTCTCTGTCCGATGTACCATCTGCAGACCATGCAGTGTGACGTCTTATCGTGCCGCTATAAGGAAAGCTCTGCCATTAGCGTTGGACGCCCGCAGCCTCATTGAGGACTTTGAGGACTGCGACATAGTACACTTTGACTTGGGTTCTATTTCCCTTTCTGTCAATTTTTAATGTTTATTTTCGCACATCATAATGTCTGCCTGTATTCATATCTTTCGTCGTCGCCACTACGCATCACTATTTGACCTTACGTTTTGGCCAGTGCCTTCGCCCTTTGACTTACAAGTGCGCATGCACTTCTTGTATAGCCATTAAATTCAATTCTTCTCAGTAATCGTCCGCTACCGTCTGTCCGAAGGTGTGACAGGCGTGTTTGTGACAGAGTCACGTCAGTGCAACTTAGACTCAACTTATAAGGGTAAGCAACTGCCAGTAAGACCAATATTTCGAATTGGCTTGGTCAAGATGCCTCTCATCCGTGTAGAAGTGAGCGATTTCAAGTCGTATTGGTGCGCCCATGTAATACCTTGTCAAAAACTAATTCATATATCTAATCACCAGCTCTACCCATTTCTCTCCAGGGGCCACCAAGTGATTGGACCCTTCAAGAACCTCACCTCCATTATCGGTCCCAATGGCGCTGGAAAATCAGATCTCATGGATGTAATCTCTTTTGTGCTTGGTGTAAAGAGTGTGCAGCTGCGCAGTAGCCAGCTGAAAGATCTCGTCTACCGTGGGCGCCGCCCCTTGGATGGCTCTGAGGCCACACAAGATCAGGAGGAGGATGTTAATAGCGATGGCGAGGGTGAGGGTGAAGGGACTGCAAAGAAAGCATGGGTGCTTGCAGTGTTCCAGGATGACAAGAGAAAGGAATGGTTATTCCAACGAATGTGTGTGCTACCTTGTCTCACTTACCCGGGACTTCTAACTGTGTTATTTGTCGTGCAGAATATCAACCACTGGAGCGTCTGAATACCGTCTCAACAACAAGGTTGTCACCTACACCGCGCACAATGCCGCCCTGACGTCCCATAATATCCTCGTCAAAGCCAACTTGAAGAACTTCCTCGTCTTCCAGGGTGATATCAAAGCTGTTGCATCTCAGTCTCCAAGAGAGCTTTCCCGCCTCATAGAACAGATTTCAGGTTCTCTCTCGCTTTCACAGGAATACAAGAAAGCGAAGGAAGCCCAAGAACGCACAACAGAGAACGCAACCTTCAACTTCACTAAGAGGAGAGGCATCGCAGGCGAAATAAAACAGTATAAGGAACAAAAGGGAGAGGCAGAGCGATTTGAGAGCTTGTGTGATCATAAAGTGCGCCTGTGTTTTACCATTCGTTTCAATAAAATACTTATGCGTTCCAAGGACAACCTTATTCTAAAGCATATTCTTCACAAGCTTTTCCAGATCAAAGAGGCACTCGAAGCGAATGCCTGCGACATTCAAACAAAGTCTAGGGCCCTTGCTGGCCTCCATGCAGAGCATGGAGAAAGCGAGAAGTCTCTTAAGGATGCACGTGCAGAGCAAGCAAGGCCCACACAGCAGTTGTACGAGAACTCGAGAAGGCGAAAAGGCATTAGAAGCCAAGGTCGGTTGATTTTCTATTCAACGCCTAGCCAACTCTAATGGGTAACCAGAACTTGAGCTAGTGGAGGTGGATGCCCAGGTCAAGTATTGATCCAGAAAGCTGCAAAATTGACAGAAGATGCGGGAACAGGTGATGCTGAACGTCAGCAGGCTAAGCTACGCTCACTCACGTGGGACCTTGCAATGCTAGGCATGCAGCAGCAGGTAAGCCATCTGTAGACTCTCGTCTTCTTTGGCTTCTACTTTTTGTATGCAGAGGCCCACAGACGTGCATCTCAACATAATAATTCCTACGCCCTCTTCTCGACGCCTTCCGCCGAAGTTGAAACAACACAACTCCAGATCCGCAAAGACACAAATGCTGTATACGATGCACCAACTCAGTCTGCGATGCAGAAGGCCACAAAGGACGCTCAGGGACTTGAGAAGAAACGACTCAAAGGGCAAGCAGAAGAGAGAGAAGCAAAAGAGAAGGCAGAGAAACGCGAACGAAGGCTACAGGACAGCAAAAACATTGTGCTTACTGAAGATCCATCCCTCCCTCAATCTGTCAAGGTGACTGTGTTGATAAATTATAAATATCCTGCTTATTTCCAAATCATACAGTCCAAGATCGTAAAAATGGAGTCCCTTCGCGGGCAGCGCGTCCGGGTATCTGGGTGGGTTCACAGGCGGCACGATCAGCAAGAAATCATGTTTATTGTCCTGTGGGACGGGACAGGATATCTGCAGGCTGTTCTTACTGGGAATGCGGTAAATCTTGCAGCTCACAGTTTTGGTCTTTGGATCTGATTTGTGCCTCAGAAAAAAACATACGATGCTGTAACATTACAGCTAGAGGCATCAGCTGAGCTGACTGGCATGCTCAAGACGGTTCATGAAGGCCAGCGCCCCCCTGGAGGACATGAACTAGTCGTTGACTCTAACAGACTCGACGAGGTTTGAGTCGTTGGCGATGACATTGCAGATGTCGCTATCGTGGCCCTCAGGTTGGTTACAACATCTGTAACTCTACCACCGAGAACCAGAATTCCACATGCCGCACCTCAATGGTGAACCACATTGACGGTGAGTCTCTTGCTAACACTGCACGCATTAATCACTCATAATTACAATTTTCGATTTTCTTGTTTTTACTGAGCAGGAGGAGGTTGCATGGCGCTGCTGGTGCACGAAGCCTGGCCACAGCACTCCTCTCGTTCCCAATGGTACCCTTCAGAGCGTTCAGTTACTCTGCATGTTCGAGTACATCCAGATCACTGGTTTCATTGACCAGACTCAGATTGACGTGAATGCTCAAGACTATGGAGGTCAACTCGATCTTCACGGTGCCGATCTTGTGAGTCTCCCACCTCCTTCAATCAGGGTTAAGCTGACTCTATCCAGCGTGTGTACTCTAACGCGTTTCCAAGCAACGACAGCGATAACAACACCTACCAGCAAGTCATCGACTGGACCAAGTAAGTCGTTCATCCCGAGTCAATTCCCGTTCTCATTCTCATGCGCCGTAGCTTCACATCCATCGCCTCATCTATCGCGCACCCAGTGTCGCATGGAACTAGCCTACATATCATCTTCTGTGGATCACGAGACTTTCGTCAGCGCTGCAGTTGATGTGCAGGCAGCCCGCGTCCTCGACGAAATTCTTATTATGGTCCTGCGTAACATGTCATCCCCTGGAGATCTGCAGCCCAAAGTTCAACGCCGCATTCTCGACGTTCTATTTACACAGAGAGTACCCGCATCATCCGACGTCCCAGCAACAAGCACCAACATCAAGCTCCGACGAATGGGGTTGGAGACCCTGCACCAAATCCTACAAGCATCTAGTTTGTTACCATTTGTCTCCAAAATTGTGTTCTCCCTGCGAACTATTTGATCCTATCAATGGGCAACTAACTGACCCTCGGACTCGGTGAGTTGTTTCGCCAATTGGAGAATCATGGCTAACTGTTTTCAATCAGGTTCCTTGGGAATCGGCCAGTCAGACTGGTTCGTCCTCAAATTCAGGGAACCCAGCTGTCCTAGCATTCTCGTCATATTTGATGGCAGACAAAGCTTATGACCTCCTTATAAGACCAAAGTAAAATAGTACAGACATTGTGTGTTGTTGTACAGTAATGATGAAGTGTTTCAATTATCTACATGCCATTTTTGAGCCAAGGCTTCAAATGCGGCACGTGCCAAGCTTTGTTTTTGGGCAGCCTGCAATGAAGTTCTGGGTAAAGTAACTCCTATTCCTTGTGATAAATTTCTGTTGGATAACATGGATGATAACCGGGGAATTACTGTGCCATGTGTGTGATAACCTTGAAACCACCTGATGTTCTTGAGTAGTAACTCAACTCCAGCTGTTTGGACTTACTTACCACAGGGCATTTTCAGCTGTTTCCACATAGCAGCCAAGGTCCATCATGACGAAGTTGAACTCATCTGCTGGTGCCTCTTTGCAGGTCTGCAGGGATATGGTCCAAGTGGCATCACGGTCCATATGCTGCGGTGCCACAAAGTTCCAACAGTAATATGCAGTTGCGCCTATGCCCCCCAAAGAATTGACTTCAGAAGACAACTCTCGAAGCTCCTTGGCTGCATGAGGATGTAACGGTGTGATTGCAGCCACCATCCTTTCTACATCCTAGGATTTCAGGGATCATTTGGGAATAAAGATCGAAAGACATTAAGAACATACAGTGGCATGAGCAAAGAGCAACCTAATATGGGCTGTATTTGTAACCTCCATACCGGCATAGCTCGTATAGGTGTCTCCAGGTCTTCCCCCAGCAGGCTTCCTGGAACCAACTGGATGCATCCTACCCCATTCAAATCGGCTGAACTGGCTGCCACGTTTGATGGATTTGGTTTCCTTTGCAGAGGCATCGCAACGGATCTTCTGAAGGTCCACATGAGAAAATGTGTCAAAAGAAACTCCTGCCAATATGGTACTGGGTGAGCTGATATCAATCAACAGGGTCACGTCCCGACCACAACGTTCCAGTACATCTGCACGGCGTGAGATCTTTCTCAGACCCAGGTCCATTAGAGGAACGTAGTTGGTTTGGGATGCACAGCCCTACATATGAAAGAGTTAAAGGCAGACATAAACATCAACATCAAGATACTTACCTTGCCTATGGGAGGAAGTCGATCTGGATCATTGGCCTGATAGGGTGTGATGACCTTTCCATGGAATTCAAAGTGATGACTAGGCTCAACCGTCCAATACCTGACACACTTGGAATCCTCAGGTTGATCATAGCATGTGCGACAACCTTGGGTATCTGGATCCACATTATTGTGGAACTTTGTATGAAAACCTTTGAGTAATTCTCGTCGTAGGCTCCTCAGCTCAGTAGACAACTTCAGAACCAAAAGCAATTCTTCATCCAAATGCAGGGCATCCAGATCAATGATTGAGAAACCGCAGATCAAACGGAATAGGTGATTCAATGAGGTTTTGTGTACCTGTAAAACAAGCTAGATTGATGTGCTTGTCAGTATGAATAAAGGAGTGGACACACCCATGTGGTAGATGGGGTCTTGGCAGCCAGAGTTGGTAACATCCATCGAACAGCTTCAGCCAGGAAGCATCTCTCAGATGAAAATGCAAATACTGAAGAGTAATTGGACCGAAATGGGCACACATTATGCCGGGACAGGAGTTGCAGGAATTCTTTGGCGTTTGCATTTGTAGACTGGCTGGTCTCAATTCTAGGAGGCAAGACTCGATCAACCCATCCAAGCATACAACTAAGTAGGCTCTCTTTCCAACGATATCGCTGGAAGCTGAGGGACAGATAAGGGGTCCTGTTTTCCAAACCCACCTGTGGGTTGGCAATCCGTAGGATTTCATGACCAAGACCGGAGCGCTGAGATTAGCGTTAAAGACCATGACAAATGAATGTGAAACATATGATGTTTACCAAGATAGCAAATTCCATCCTAGACTTGTGGGCAATACTTGGGTTGCGAGTCCATTTTCTCATCTCCTGCAGTGCGGTTATGGCTGGAGCCTCCAGCTCCTGATATGCTTCCAGATGATTTTTCTAAGGAAGTGTCTGAAGCCTGCCTACCTGGGTTCCTTGGGAGAAGAAGTTGGTAAATGCAATTCTCCATCTAAGACAGTTCTCCTCAGCCTCACAAGACCAATAAGAGATTGCATTTTCATCATCAATGAGTTCCAGGGGCATGATATCTTCAAATAGCTGGTCCTGTGTGTTCAGCTGAGGTGCGTTTAACATGATTTTGGCAGCAGACAGGGGAGGGGGCAAAGATTCTGGGTCCACTCACCAACAGGCCTTTTAAGACAAAGCCCTCAGCTACTCCTTGTAGTAGAACATTCATAGCCTCCTGTTGATGACACATTTGCATCAAACTGAACTGAATATAGGCTCGGCATATTGTTTCATCTGGCATCTTAGTCCAATGTAATTGACAATGTTCTTGATACCAGGCCATTGGTCCAAGCATCTATGATATGAGAAGAGAACATTATACAGGTTAGACTGAGGCATGACAGGAACTTACTCTTGGATCCTGGTGTAGAAGCACGGACATGGTGTCATCTTCCCACAGAGCAGCTTCTATTTCGGTGAAGCATGGTTGTAGCACAGCCCTGGATGCCAAGTAGCTTGTCCAGACCATTGTACAAAATACAGCACTGAGGGGATAAGATCTCAGAGGAGTTCTCTGAGTAATTCTATTTCCAAGACATGGTGAGAAACACAGCCCAATTGAGGAAATCAGAAGTTTGTATCAACCTTATCTCTGGGACGGCGATCAGTCCGCGACACTACAACCAATACGTTGGTTTGGTCAGGGTTTAACAGTTGTACTTTTGCATACAGTTACTGTGTACTCTACAGGTGAAAACAGAACAGAAACCCAAGGCACCAGACCCTTATACATAACATCATGTTCACCGTTGTAAATTTAGTATCTTACAGGATTGCCAGTCATAGCAGGTCACCTTCAAAAATATTCAACTTGGGGAGCAAGGTTCTGTGTACCAACGTAAAAGCCCTCTCTTGGCATCAGAGCTTTTCAAGGACACTAGCGGCAGATGCAAGTTTGGGCATTACAGGTTTAGTTGGAATAGAAGAGTCAGAGGGATAAGGTGTATCTTTGGACATGGTTGCCTTTGATTTATGCTGGACCATGATTGGGGATCTGGGGTGACAAGCAGAAATCAGGTAATGCCCAAGTTTATATGACAATTTGTGTCCACCAAGGTCCAAAGAGGATCTAGTTCTATCACCCGACAAAAAACTTTGGAATCTCCGAGTTGGAGCAGCGAGGAGGAGTTTTGAATAATCATCCTTGAAAAGAATTCACTTGAGTCCCTTGATATCATCCAGTGTCCCGGTCTAATCCTGAAAAGGATGTCATTAGGAAACCCAAGGTTTCAATCTGTGTCAATCAGCATGGATCGTGAATTGCCTAAGTGGAAGGATGAGGTGATATGATAACATTTGAACGAAGAGAATGGAACCGGGATGGTATGAGGTTTACTTATTGTCATCATAACGAAAGCTGAACTGGTCGCTGTATTTCCTGAAAATATGTTCAGGACAAAAGTTCAAAAACTCACATGGCCACATATCATGGATATCATACACGAAATACCTGACCATATTTTGGATATGATACACCGAGCTACAGAGCAGAAAGGTGAGGAGCATGAGAAGGAGCATGAGAACAAAGCTGAGAGGAAAAGAATTGCTAGGAAGCTTCAATGTGAAGCACAGAGGAGTATGATAGAAGAAGCTGATGTTGAAGAGCGTAATGACAGTGTCAACAACCATGACCATACGAATTATCTTGGATTACCATCAGAAGAAGATATGAAGAAGTGTTTCCGAGCATACATATCAGCGACATCAAATCAAGCTCTTGCAATGTCGATTTGCTTTGTTTGTGCGAGGGAGTTAATGAGTTCTGAAGGTGCGCAACAGCAATTGTGGGAGAGGTAAATGTTAACATTGATATTTTGGTATGTGAACTTCACATAGATGAAATGCGCCATCTGTGTACTAGAATACCAAATATCAAGCGGTGGCTTGCTGTATCAACAGAAGGATTATCTGCTGCAGCAAGATTATGGGAGGGGTTGTTGTTGGTCGAAGGGCACAGTAAAGGAGGGGCGCCAAAGAGCTCTGGGCATTGTAGGGAAGACCGTTGGGGAACAGAGATGAACCCAGCATAGAGCAGGAAAACAGCACAATGGACTTTGCGTGATTTTCCTGCATTATGCTGTGACATTGCGAGGCTCGCAAGTATAAATGTGCAAGCTAGATGTGCAAATCTGCGAGATCGTAAAGACGAGGTGCAAGATATGACATGTGTTTGTCCAATTTTCAGATTGACGCTGATTGTCCACGATTACAAATTTGTTACTAAGGCTATCGTAGATTCACACATGTCTAACCAGACCGAGACTGGGAACGTTGAAAACCAGCGTGAATTCTCACACAGCCACAATTAATGATAGTGAACTGTACAAGGTAATCATCAACATTCTTGTCAAGAGTCAAGACTATCGCACATTACATAAACATGGAACAATGGAAACACATACCGGGGCCTGCATTGCTCAATTCCACATCCTCTGAACTTGATTTCATACAGGCATTCCGTCAACTTCGTGTCGCAGCGCCACCCGATTTTGTCCGCAGTAGTCGTCTGAAGGAAATTTCCACGGAGGAGCTGCATTCCAGTGGATCGTCTCTTCATGGGCTTTGCAGCCTGGACCTGGATACTCTCCATCTGGCCCAGAAGGAGCATACACGGCAGTGGGCCAGGGACACACTAAGTCACCATGGTCCAGTCTTGAATGGCACCTCCTGGACCCCAGAAGCAATTGGGCGTTTGTCAGCAATGCCCGTCAGGATATATGACGAGTTCAATGTCGTCGAGTACCTCAAGTCCGCTTTTATGGGGCCGGTGGGATGTGGGGCAACCTGCTTGTTCCAAATATCATGTCGACCCGGCGATGACCCATTGGGTTTTCCATCCTCCCTAAAAGGGTGTGCCATCCAAACTAAATCCATGAGCGGGCCGTCTGGAAGGCCGGATGCAGAATTTATTTGGGATTTCGAGACTTGCATTACAGTGGAGGTCAAAACACAGAAGGCCACCGGTGTGAATAATGCAACAGCAGATATGCTGCAAAAGCTGGGAGATTGCTGGAGTGAGTGGTCCCCCACAATGCGTGTAGACCAGGTGGTACATTTAGCTCCGGCGTACCAAATCCTGGTTCAGATACAGCGAGAAAAGAAGTGGAAAACAGAAGCCAGTACTACAGGCTCATCTCAGCTGGAGGAGGTGACAGGGGGCACCTGGCAATCCAAGGTGCTTGGTACAATATACCAGGTGTGATCTACTTTACTTGAAGTGTTTCATGATGGCTCAACTGTTGTTCAGGTTTGGCATCAGCTTTCAACCCGAGAATGTAACCACGGTATCATCTCTAATCAACACATGTTCTTGCTGGTTCATCGCTCTGGGAACAACCTACACATATCCCCCTCATACCAATACCAGCCAGACGATAACAATGCACTGGCGGCCACACTGTCAGATCTGAGCTTTTTCATAGCCCATTCCTTGGTGGCTAGACCGGGTAACAGTGGCACTACTCAGTTGCCCGGTCCGTTTGTCACATCATTGGGCATACCTCTGGATAATCCAGACAATCACAGTCACAATTTACCACAGCCTGGTACTCCAGCGACTCCAGGTGTGTCAGGGGGAAGTATCATGATGGTAGGTATTCCCACATCTTGCAGATGTGTTTATCTGAGATTTTTGACTCCAGAACAACCTGGGATCACGTGTTTTGAACTGGGTGATTTCATGGTGGAGCACATGCTTACCAGTCCAGATGTGCAGACCTGGAAAGGCTACTATAAGATCAGAGGTCTCACCATCCAATATGGATTCCCCCCAACTCATCTTCACCACATCTGGGTGTTCGTCAGTCCCCATTGCATTATCTGGTGTGGACCAATTCAATCCACCCTCTCACTTTTCTACCCCAGTGGTCCTGGACAGGCGGATATCAAACAACCGGCTGACAGTCTTTAGTGGGCACATGGGTGATTCTGCAGTGGTGATGAAAATGGCTGAGGATGATCTATGTGAAGAGCTGTTGCTTGAAGCCGAGATTTATCAGGCCCTGCAGACCATTCAAGGATCAGTGGTTCCTACATGTCTAGGATTGTATTCTGGGTCAGGCGCCTTGTTCCTTCTGACGGATGATGTAGGGGTGTCACCGAATTCTTTCCTGGACCTGGAAATTGATCAGAGGTGTGTTCATTTCAAGAATCCTCATTGGCCCACCCATGCATTTGATTTTTCTTTGCAGACATCATCTTCTCAGGTCACTACTTGCTATTCACCAGCTGGGAGTGAAGCACAATGACATGGTGGCTGCCAATGTTGCAATCAACAAATCCAATGTGATCATACTGGATTTTGGGGCATCTGAGCTTGGCCATATGTGTCCTGGCGCATTCCATTGCCTGGAGTTGCTTGAATGTGCTGTTACTTTGGGTGTGGATATGAAGGATTTACATCTGACATGAGATGATGCACCTGCAACCCTCCAGGAATCCCTGGACATGTTGTTTCGCCAGATTATCAGTTCCCAAAAATTCAGGTCATGTATTTGTAGATAGTTGATCAGAACAAAATCTTTTTTGGAAGGAATGTAATTTTCTGTATTCTGCGCCTGCACCCTCCTTATTATTTATGGTGATTATTTGCTGTATTGCTGGTCCTGCCTAATTTACATCCCATCCTCACAAATTGGCAAGGTAGTGATGAATTGCCGATTGTCTGGTTATGATGATTATGTGATGCAAGGCTCTGCAGTGAGGAATTTTTGCCAGCTCGGCGTTTATAAATTAATTCGTAATAACCAAATGTGTCACGTTTGGTCACATTGCAAATGAAATCTCGGTATCTGGCCTAGAATAAAAGTTGCGCAATAGACGCATAATTTGATGAACAACCCACTTTAAGGAGCCCTCTGAGTACACCGGTTTGTTCCGTAGTCCAAGTCTTAGGCCTGATTCATTCAACCTAAACAAAGTAAAATTCAGCGGTTACATATGTCTTTATGCCGCAATTGTCATAAATGCCATGTTGCCCTCAACAACTCATTCCTCTTTTACTGGTTTCCCTTATTCTGAAACCTTTCCCAATCTGCTCATAAAACTGAATTATGCTGTTTTATGTG